CATACTACAACCAGCGTCTCTTCTCAAGTGCTCGTATTGCCTTCATTTTGAAACAACTAGCCAGTATTGCTAGTAATGCTGCTGCCAATCCAGATGAGGCTATCGGCCGTATCGACTTCATGACCGAAGATCAGCGCGCACTCTTGCCCGACCCAACATCCAATTTGAACTGGTCTAACTTCCGCGGTGCCATCCACGATATTTTTACTGCCAATGCTGAAAGCCACCCAGACAAGTTGTGTGTGGTTGAAACTCAGTCGAACAGCTCCCCTCACCGCGAGTTCACCTATCGCCAAATCAACGAGGCCTCCAACATCCTCGGTCATCATCTCGTACGGTCTGGCATTCAGCGAGGAGAGGTTGTCATGGTTTATGCCTACCGTGGTGTTGACTTGGTGGTTGCCGTCATGGGAATCCTGAAGGCCGGTGCGACATTCTCGGTTATCGACCCCGCCTATCCCCCGGAACGTCAGAACATCTATCTTGATGTTGCCCGTCCCCGCGCTTTGGTGAACATTGCCAAGGCTACAAGAGATGCAGGTGAACTTGCAGATATTGTGCGTACTTTCATCGACGAGAATCTTGAGCTCCGCACTGAAATTCCTGCGCTTGCCCTACTCGATGATGGAACTCTTGCCGGTGGATCCGTCAACGGTCAGGATGTCTTCGCCAACGAGGTTGCTCTGAAGTCCAAGTCTACTGGTGTCATCGTTGGTCCTGACTCTATTCCCACCCTTTCTTTCACATCCGGCTCGGAAGGCCGGCCGAAGGGCGTTCGTGGCCGACACTTCTCTCTGGCCTATTATTTCCCTTGGATGTCTGAGACTTTCAAGCTCACCCCAGACGAGAAGTTCACTATGCTGAGTGGCATCGCTCACGATCCTATTCAGAGAGATATTTTCACACCATTGTTCTTGGGTGCTCAACTCTTGGTGCCCGCACGGGAGGACATCCAAAACGAAAAGCTTGCTGAATGGATGCAGAAGTACGGTGCCACCATCACTCACCTTACGCCTGCTATGGGTCAAATTCTTGTCGGTGGTGCCTCTGCTCAATTCCCTGCTCTCCACCACGCATTCTTTGTGGGTGATATTCTGATTAAGCGAGACTGCCGCTCACTCCAGGGACTTGCGCCTAATGTCAGCATTGTGAACATGTACGGAACAACTGAGACACAGCGTGCTGTCAGCTACTTCGAAATTCCTAGCTACGCCAGCAACGAGGGCTACTTGAACAACATGAAAGATGTAATTATGGCTGGTCGCGGAATGTTGGATGTGCAGATGCTGGTTGTCAACCGCTATGACCCCACTCGTCTCTGTGCTGTTGGAGAGGTCGGCGAGATCTACGTCCGCGCGGCAGGTCTTGCAGAGGGCTACCTTGGTTCCCCGGAACTGAGTGCGAAGAAGTTCCTTACCAACTGGTTTGTTAAGCCTGAAGTCTGGGCGGAAAAGGATCAAGCCGAATCCAAGAACGAGCCCTGGCGCGAATTCTATGTTGGTCCTCGTGATCGCCTTTATCGCAGTGGCGATCTAGGCCGTTACACACCGTCTGGAGATGTTGAATGCTCTGGCCGCGCCGACGACCAAGTGAAGATCCGTGGTTTCCGTATTGAGCTTGGAGAGATCGACACCCATCTTTCTCAGCACCCTCTGGTCCGTGAGAACGTGACCTTGGTGCGAAGAGATAAAGACGAGGAGCCCACGTTGGTCAGCTACTTCGTGCCCGATATGAACAAGTGGGCTTCATGGTTGGAGAGCAAAGGCCTTAATGATGAGGACTCTGGATCTGAGGGTATGGTTGGTCTGTTGCGGCGCTTCCGTCCTCTCCGTGATGATGCTCGTGAGCATCTCCGGAGTAAGCTTCCTACATATGCAGTGCCGACCGTCATCATTCCCCTTAAGCGCATGCCTCTGAACCCGAACGGCAAGATCGACAAGCCCGCACTCCCATTCCCAGACACTGCGGAACTGAGCGCTGCTGCACCCCGCCGCCGCTCGTCTGCAGTGCAGGCCCTCTCTGAAACCGAGCAGACACTGGCTCAAGTCTGGGCTAAGCTCATCCCCAATGTGACGTCTCGCATGATTGGACCGGATGACTCCTTCTTTGATCTCGGTGGTCACAGTATCCTCGCACAGCAAATGTTCTTTGAGCTTCGTCGCAAGTGGCGTGTTATTGACATCAGTATGAACGCTATCTTCCGCAGCCCGACCCTCAAGGGCTTTGCTAGCGAGATTGACCGCCTTCTCGCAATGGAATCATTCGCAACTAGCGATGACAAGACTCTAGCTGTGCAAGCTGCTAATGAGCCGGATGACGAGTACTCGAAGGATGCCGTCAAGCTTGTGGATGAACTGCCCAAGAAATTCCCTCGGCGTACTGAGGCTATGCTCACTAGCGAACCCACGGTGTTCCTTACCGGAGCCACTGGTTTCCTAGGCGCGCATATCCTCCGAGATCTACTTACCCGTCAGTCACCTTCCACCAAGGTGGTAGCTTTGGTTCGGGCAAAGTCTGAGGAGCAGGCACTTGAGCGACTCCGCTCCACTTGCCGCGCATATGGTTTCTGGGACGAAGCATGGACCCACAAGCTGCAAGCCGTCTGTGGTGATCTTGGAAAGCTGCAGTTTGGCCTTTCCCAGACAACGTGGGACGACCTTACCAACCGTGTCGATGCTGTAGTTCACAACGGAGCTCTTGTCCACTGGGTCTACCCCTATGCCACACTGAGACCGGCCAATGTTATGGGTACCATCGATGCCCTCAAGCTGTGCGCCAGTGGAAAGGCCAAGCAGTTTGCTTTCGTCAGTTCGACCAGTGCTTTGGATAAGGATCACTTCGTGCAAGAATCCGAACGTATCATCGCCGCTGGTGGAAATGGTATCAGTGAAGACGACGATATGGAGGGCAGCAGAGTTGGCCTTGGAACCGGTTACGGTCAAAGCAAATGGGCTGGAGAATACCTTGTCAAAGAGGCCGGCCGCAGAGGCCTGAGGGGAACCATTATTCGCTCCGGATATGTTCTCGGTGATTCGGTCACTGGAACTACCAACACTGATGACTTCCTCATCCGTATGCTCAAGGGCTGCATTCAAATTGGTCTTCGCCCAAATATCTTCAACACCGTGAACATGGTCCCTGTTGATCATGTGGCTCGTATTGTAATTGCCACTGCCTTCCACCCACCTTCCACAGGCGTTAACGTCGCCCATGTTACTGGACACCCTCGCTTGCGCTTTAACCAGTTCCTTGGTGCGCTAGAGCTCTACGGATACAATGTCCCTCAGGTTGACTACGTGCCTTGGTCTACTTCCCTTGAGCAATATGTCAACGATGGCGAGCACAATGACAAGGAGTCTCAGCATGCTCTGTAAGTTTCACCCTTTTTTTCGGTCCATTGACGAATCCATACTAACCTTGTGTAGTATGCCCCTGTATCACTTTGTTACATCGGACCTGCCTTCCAACACCAAGGCTCCGGAATTGGATGATGTGAACGCAGCGACGGCTCTGCGTGCCGATGCTATCTGGTCGGGCGTTGACGCATCAGCCGGTGCTGGCGTGACCGAGGAATTAGTCGGCTTGTATGCTTCGTATCTGGTACAAACCGGTTTCCTCCCCGCACCAACTGTCGCGGGGGCCCGCCCTCTACCTGCTGCTCAGATCAGTGAGGAACAGAAGAAGACCCTGTTGAGTGTCGGTGGCCGTGGTGGTACATCTTGAAATTTATAAAAAAGATCTCATGTACTTATTCTGATGTTCTGATTTTCAAAAAGCATTTACATTTCCAACCCCCCTGCAATATATGAATTAAACTGAGCCACTAAAAACGTGGCTTGTAGTACTCTATCGAAAAAGCCCGATCTGCCGATCTGCCCGTTCAGTAGCACTCCGCGTTTTCCCTCTCCACTCTTTATTTACTCCTGTCACTGGGGAATCTATATAGCTTAAAAAGGACCCTCTTTCTTGCTCTCTTCCATATCTCTCTCCACAATTAGTATTCCATCATGGCTGAACGTCAATATGTGAGCGGTGTTTGTGCGCGTTCTTGGCAATTCCACTGCCTCATCAACACTCAGGACTCGGGGGAGGTTATTAGGGCTCGTCTGACGGCTTTCCAAACGGAATAATAATGAGTTAGCGAAGTTTTTTCGGAGTTTGGGGCGGTTTCGGCCGAAGGCCAACTCATTATGTAACAGTGATACATAGAACATTGCGACAGGTATTTGATGAATTGATGAACATCCATGGGCAAACATAAACATGATACAGAAAATTTTCTTTTCTTTTCTTTTTTTTCCTGGGGCAAATGTCGGGGATACCCCTCATAAATATAAATATATGGCATGTTGTGGATCAGGGGATCCGCAATGGCCGGGGATGGTGTAAGACCAATCAATATGTCCAGGTCTGAAACATCCCGAGATCTTTATCTTGTAGGGCTCTCTATACGAAGCATATACGAAGTATATACGAAGTATGTGGTTTGATCATCTTTTGATAAATCCTCCCACACCTCTAGACCTTCCCGGCAATGATTAGGTATCTTTTGTATAGCAACTCCATATAACTTAAAGGTACATAAGCACAACACAAGGCATTATTGTACATTCACATCCACCTAGGCTTGTCCAACGCTTCTGTTGATCTTTCTAGTTCTCTTTATACTCCAGGCATGTGCATGGTTATTGAAGAAATGGTATGGATTGGTAAGTCTATGACTATTGTTCACCTAAGCCATTAACACCTAACAGTAACGGTCATCAATGAATGGACTAAATAATAAAATAATATACTTATGGCTATAAACCGATAGAAGGTGTAATAGTAGCATAAGACATCCATGGATGGATCATACGTGTAGGACAAACCTTGGAACATAGGAACATATAAGGGTAATTCCTCCTTCATTCCTTCCCTGAGTACTTAACTTCCCCTCTAACCCCCCTCATATTTCAAGTCTTCTTTTTCCCCCTTCCAATTCTCTAGTGACATTCATCATGGCGATCGATATCTCAGATGGAATTGGTAAGTATATGGCCTTTCTGACGTTTGACTACCCGCCACCTAACCAAGCTAATGATCAAAGCCATCGGTGATAGTACCGAACCCGAGGCCAAGGATATCCAGTATGAGCCTTTAGGCACCCTCTGTGATTTCCACGCCCTCTACCAGACAGATCCCGATGCATATGGCAAAAAGTCATGGAGCAAAAATGTACCCATCGATTTGCCTGATGCCGTCGAGGATGCCGAGTCAGCACAATACGCACTTCTCGTGAGAAAAAAGAAGTGCTATGATGGACGGAGGAGCTTGTCTATTCACTCCATCATAGTGCAAAGCGAACGTCTCAAGGAGTTCTTGAAAAGGGCACTGGATAACTATCCTGGAGTCACGACGACCTTGCAGCGCCTCGAGATCACATCGCCTTTCCGCCCATTTGTTCATCGATGGGAAGAAATTACCAAATTGCGAGATGAAGAGCAGGATCCAACAACTAAAGCCCATGTCGACATGTTCTACCGCATCATGGACGAGGAGCTCAGGGATGTGGTTGACCGCAAGAACGACCTGGTTGCCAAAGGGGTCATCACTCACGACTTGGTTTGGACGATCCTGGAACCTCAAGATGTGGTTCTTTCTTCAATTGATGGAACTCTACATGCGTATTTGCTCACAAAAGCATCATCGGATGATGAAACATCGAGAAATGATTATCTCGAGATGGAATACGTTGGATTTAACGGAAGCAATTTCGGATACAGATATACACGTTTCATGATACCAAGCTTTGTGGGCACGGTGCCAATTACCTCATTGCCATACTTTCCACTCAGATACCACCCAGAAAAGGATACTATCCAAGAGTTGTTGATTGCACGGGGCAAGAAGTGGGAAGCATACAAGGGGTACCATTTCAAAGCCTACGAAGAGGATTCGACCAGCACGAACTCCAAAGGTCGGGATAACAATTTGAGGGACATCAAATATCATGCCAAGAGTCGCGTCATCATCGACATCGAGGCATACAACCTTTGTGGGCATACAGCCTTAGTCACCGTTGACAGGAAAATTGATGGAGAACTAAATGATTCGCAGCGCCTCATTGCAACCCCAACGCTCTATGGATATTCCCTGAATGACAAAGAATGGAGTACGTTCTGCGTGGATCATGTGAAAGACATTGAGTGGGATGAGAAGGCCTTTGAGTCGCTGGTCTTACCGCGGGAGAAGCAGGGGATCAAGGAAGTTGTCTTGGCTGTTGCAAGAGCTCAATCCAAGAACGTCGATGGATTTGACGATGTCGTTCGGGGAAAAGGCCAAGGGTTCATTATGCAGCTTAGCGGTCCACCGGGGGTCGGAAAGACCCTCACTGCGGAAAGCGTTGCTGAGGTCATGAGGGTTCCTCTTTATGTCATGAGTGCGGGTGACCTTGGAATTAGCGCTAGAGGCTTCGAAACAAAATTGAAAGACATCCTGGAGCTGATTCCCAAGTGGGGTGCTGTTTTGTTGCTTGATGAGGCTGATGTCTTCATGGAAGCCCGTGATTCAACCAATCTCGATCGCAATGAACTTGTCTCAATCTTCTTGAGAATGCTTGAATACTACGAGGTAAGATCCAATGCCCAGGGTCACCAAAGTCAGAGGATGCGGGGGAAAATATGCAAAATGACGTGTTACTGATCTTCTATCTTTTTCTTCAGGGTATTCTCTTCTTGACCACCAACCGTACACAGAATATCGATCCTGCCTTTGAGTCTCGGATCCACCTTTCCCTCGCCTACAAGGAGCTCGATGCGGAATCCAGGCTTCAGGTTTGGACACAGTTCCTAAGCCGCTCATCGAACATTGAGGCCTTCACGGACGAGCAACTTGACCAGGTGGCCGAGTGCCAATTGAACGGTCGCCAGATCAAGAATGTGGTCAAGACGGCCGGTCTCCTGGCTTGGTCCAAGGGGCGTGAGCTTCGATACGAAGATCTGAAGGTGGTGCTTGCTCTGAGAGATTTGCAAAAGTGATGTCTGGTGAGAGCACGGGGTTTATTGCGTATTCATTTTTAATAATTAGCTAGCAACGCCCCACAGACTCGATATCCGAGTTCCAAAAAAAAACCAAAAAAAAACCGATTCTATGGCTCTATTTACTGCTTATAATTTCCTTCCAATATGTTGATAAAGGGCCGAGGTGTGTGTTTTATGCATTGTATGGCTACATTTGCTCCCGTTTGCCGCTAACGGGGTCCGAGTACGAGGTCCGAGTAGGATTACAAGGCTGAGCAGGCAACTCCCAAAAACACACCCGCCAAGACTTTCACTTCTTCCATCGAGTCATATTTGTTGATATATCCTTGGCTCCCACGCTGACAATGCCTCCAGTGTTCCATCCAAGACTTCCGGCAGGCCCCGGGGCCCATTCCCCCTGAACCACTACTGTCTATAGGGCTACGGGGCGCTTCGTTTTCGTTTTCGGATACGCAGAATCCCGGCCCACTCCGTTCCATACGACAGGGATTATGTTGAACTTGCAATTTGAAGATGTTATGGCCTCTTAAGGCTGAACGGATGATATTCCCCGGAACGCCGATCATCGAAAAAAAAAAGAGATGTACACACTAAAACATCAAAACGCCCATCTCCAGGACTGACCAAAGACCCCCCTGACTCAGGTCCACCGTGTGTTGGCTAGTGCACCCGCACGATCCGACGATTTCACAATTATAATCTAATCGAGGCGCCCCCCATGGCACAACTCCGATAGTATGCTGTTGTGGAGCACGCGAGCAGTCAATTTCTTCTCCTTAATTTTTCTCGCATTTTCCTTTATTTTTTCTCTTTCCCCCTTTATATTGTGCAGTATATGCGGATTGGAGAGCAGTCCGTGTCGAAAGATCCCCTCATGTTGGCCGCTTTTCGTGTTAGGCCATTATGATTGTCACTCGTTTTCATCATCCGCAGCGCTTAGTTTTGTCTATTTTGGTGCTTTCCGGTATCTGCTCCAAGTTGCTTCACATATACCAACATCGATCTCTTCCCTTACACCTTTTGGTCCTTTATTTCCCAACATTCTTTATTCAGGAGGTTCTTCTATTCGTTACAGTATGGATTCTCTTGTATGCAACTACCGGTCGGTGGTCAGTAGCTGCCGTTATCGGCTCAGCGATTGTCGCGTTGGTTCACCTTTTTCCTTAAATGCACCGGCCAACGATATTGACTTTTACCCTCAGATGCACGGATTTATTAGCAACGTCGTCGCAAATTAGTTTCTATTCTCAAACCGGCAGCGAAATTAGATGGGATGCAGCTAGGTCCGTGGGCGCCAGTCGACAGGGAATGAAGTTAATATTGAGCGGTCTGGTGCCTATGGCTGCCGCTACAACAGTGATCGCAGTGGCTTCCTGGCTTATGGCTCAAGGGATCTGGAATCTCATGACCCGCTGGCTATGTGCCCTCGCTAATATCGGAGACGCCAAGACTTCCGCCGTGTTACCAGGGCCCTCGGATCTGAGGAATTTAGTGTCGCATAAACCTCGGCTTTGGACACTTGTGGGCACCGGAGTAACGATCGGACTCTGGATGATCCGGCCGTCAATCCCATACAATCATATGACGGGGGCTCTGCCTTTCACCATGCTCGGCGAACACTCTCGGGCTCGTCGGATGACCATCGAAACATTCCCGCTCCCTGAATTACTAGCGGAGGAATATCAGGAGCCTGCAAATGGGCACTATAAGGGGTGGGCACCGACATTGGATGACTCGGGTAACACTGCCTATGGAAATAATAAACCAGCCTGGGCGCGAGGCCCTCTTCCTGCTGCGTTTGAGAGATGGATTGTGAATCCCGATTCAAATTCAAACACGGACGGAATTAGCTTGGAAATTAGTTTGGAGGCGCCTAATTCGACCGTTCAAAGTCTGTCCAGGAGAGGCGAAAACGAATCCGATTCTACAAACCAGAACAAGACAGCCGAACCGCGACACTATTTCTATAATCCTGTTCAAGATCCCATGAGGATAAGCAACCTTGATCTGGAACCACTTGGTCCTCTGCAGGAGGCTCTGAAGGACCATGCCATTCCGATCAACCACATCGTCTTTGTGTTCTTGGAAAGCGGTCGAAAGGACCTCTTCCCCCTCAAAAACGATTCTCGCTTGTACAACCAAATCCGTGAATCATATGAATTATACGATGAGGAGGACGAAGCCGATCTACACGACAAACTATCTCAGATAACCCCCGTGGCAGAAATGCTTACAGGGGAGGAATCCGGCTTCGGCTCCCCGGCTAACTCGACGAATGCCGGACTAGGTGGTCTCAGCTTCGACGGGATATTGTCGGGGAGCACTCTCTCTGCGAAATCGCGCCTTGTCAACTACTGCGGTCTTGGGCCACTCCCGGTGGACTTTATGCATGAAAATGATATCATTCCATACCAGCCGTGTCTGATGCACATCATGGATCTATTCAACCAACGCAAGAATTCTTCTGGCTCTGGGAATTCCACCGACAGTCACCTAGAACGGGAATGGCAAACCATCTATGCGCAGTCTGTCACTGGGGAGTTCCAAGCACAGACTCGGCTTATGGATCTGCTCGGTTTCAAACAGGCATTGTACTCGGAAGATATTGATGTGGAGGACGCGAAATATTTCCATGAGGAAATGGAAAAGATCAACTATTTCGGGTATGTTGTTGAGCAGAATGCGCCGAGGCTGTTCCTCATGTATAAATACTAACTTAGCACAGTTATGCTGAAACCGAGGCCCGCCCCTATATCAAAGACTTGATCGACGAAACGCTTCGTCAGAAAAAGAGACTCTTCCTTTCACATTTCACCAGCACCACGCACCACCCTTGGGGCACACCTGAAGGCTGGAACCGAGATAAATATTTCGGTGATCTCCACAAATCACAACACGAACTCATGGATGAGTTCCTCAACGCAAACCGCTTTGTCGACACATGGCTCGGCGACCTAATGGGCATGCTAGGGGAAGCTGGCATCGCCAACGAGACCTTGACAGTCTTCGTGGGAGACCAGTACGTACATTTCCCACAAGTAACCAACGAGCCTATCATCTAACCAAAACGAAACAGCGGCCAAGCATTTGGAGAAGACTGCCCCGTCACAGGAACCTATCACAACCCACACATCAGCAACTTCCGCGTACCCCTAGTATTCCACCACCCCTTATTACCCCGCATGCACCTTAATGTCAACGGCAGTGCCGTATCCATCCTCCCGACAATCCTCGATCTCCTCGTGAACACCAACTCTCTCAACGCAGACGACACAGAAATTGCCCTGGATCTATTGAACGAGTATGAGGGCCAGTCCCTCATCCGACCATACCGCACCTCACACAACGGCCGCGAAGCCTGGAACATGGGTGTTATTAATGCCGGTGGCTCGATGCTGAGTGTTGGCTCCGCGGCTGTGCCCTGGCGTCTCAGCCTGCCATTAAACAATGACTTCGAGTACCGATTTACGGACTTGAGTAAGGACCCGTATGAGCTTGAGCCTGTCACCGGCTGGACCATGAGCTCGCTTGCTGCGGAGGTTCATTCCAAGCATGGGTCTGAGGCTTTTGATTGGGCTCAGAAGGCCGAGAAGGTTGGTCTTTGGTGGGTTGCGGAGAGGAAGAAGCTTTGGAATTATAGTGATCCTGATGAGTGAGGGGTTGTTTATGATAGTGCATAGCTCGTTTTTTGTTTTCTCTTTTTGGTCCTTGGAGCGATTTGCATAGCATGCATTCTGGGGTATATGTTTTTCTGGGGGGGGGCTACCCAGGGGTTAGTTTGGTTACCTTCTGGCTCTGTATAATATTCGGGTTGGGTAGACCTGCTGTATATAAAAAGGATATGATTTGTGTGGTTTTTCTATTCATACCGATTTTCTAGGGCAGCTACGAGCATGGAATAGTCAGCGCATAGAATAGTCATTGTTGTGCTGCTTCATCAATTAATATAACTACCGCATAACTAGTGTGTAGCATCTATAGAGATCAGCCTGGCAGTATCCAAGGCGGTAAGCTCTGAAAAATAAAGATCATTCCCCTCATGGCAATGCCAAGTATGGAGACAGTCATACTAAAGATTCAGGGAATTATGCTTATTTCGCTAAAACTAGAGAGCGCTGAACAATAGCGGTCTACGGGGTAAGGCTAACAACTTCATACTTCATTTCCAATGTTGTTGCCGTATAGACGGTAATATTACCGACAGCCGAGAAGTGCTGACGAGGCCTCATGGGTTTTGCGGTCCACTTGAAGATCTTCATGAGCCTGAGGGAAAAAAGCACCACATTTTCTACGTTTCACCCCCTTCGGTACATCAGAGGATCCAATTACAACCGTCTTTGCTTGGCCCTTCCGCCCCTACCATTCGCCCACAGGACTTGGCGTCTCCCGAGATCCGCACATATCTTACCTTGTCTAGACCCCCGGCGATGGTCCCCTTTCTTTTTCTCTTCTTCAATGACTTCCTTATACCACGCTCTTTTGAAGAATGCTGTTTTTGAGCGTTTCATTGCTGTTATGGTTGTGCCAGACCGCACTGGCGCAATATTCCAGCGATGATCTCATGTCATTCGTTACGGTCCGTGTCCCATATCCTACAAATTGTTTAATCCCGCTAACACCGTGTTCTCCAGCTCCCCGATATTCGGGCAGTAAAATTCAACGTCCAGTACGAGAACCGCGATCGCATTAGCCCTGGTTACTGGTTCGTCGCTCCCTACCTACACATTGGCCCCGATCCTCCGTCGACCTTGTACGAGCAGTATCAGATCGGCCCCCATATCTACGATGGTGAAGGAGTGCGTTTACACCAATGCCCCCGCGATACAGATCCGGACAGCTGACCATATTTCGGTATAATAGCGCCTCATCTGGACTGGCTCGCAACAGTTCGACAACCGGAACGTCTTCGATTTCAAAGTCGTCAACAGTCTGGGCCTTGACCCACACCTTTCGATGGTCTTGCAAAACTCGTGGGATCCGCAAATTGACTCCGGGTATGGGCTGGTCTTGACCAATGATTATCAAGTCCAACGAAAGCTTCCTTTGCGGAGGGATCTCGGCGTCTTTGACATCCACGAGTTCAACATCCGGGACGACGGTAAGACTGCGCTGGTCACGGTCTACCTTTCACATGAGATTACTCTAGAGGAATTTGGTCGCCCGAAAGAGTCTACTTGGCTCGAATCCGGCGGGTATGCTGAGATCGATCTGAACACCGCCGAGGTTATCCAGTGGTGGGACTCTTTCAATCACATTCCTTTACCCGAGACTGTTCACTACAGCCCATATTCTCCAGTAGAGGGACACCCTGGCTGGGATTATGTGCATATCAACTCAGTTGACAAGAATGAAATTGGGGATTTCTTGATCTCATCGCGGTTTACGAACACTATTTACCTTATCTCCTGCATAGATGGAAACATCATGTGGCGATTGGGTGGACACTATAGTGATTTCGAACAAGATTTCACCTTTTCGAAGCAGCACGACGCGAAATTTATCGAATCCAATGGGACGCACCATATTATCTCATTTTTGAACAACGCCTCGGACGAGGAATTCAACGAGGAAAATATGTCATCGTCCCTGTTCGTCGAGTTGGACACCCGCGCGAGGCCCATGACCGCCAAAGCCATCCGTCGCTACAACCGCCCTGATCACCAACTCTCAAGACTCCGCGGCAATACCCAGCTGCTTCCGAATGACAACGTGTTCACTTGCTGGAGCAAAGAGGGCTATATTTCCGAACATGCCGCCGATGGAGAACTACTGATGACTGCCAACTTCACCTCCTCACGCTATTCCTCCTACCGCGGGTACAAATTCGAATTCACCGGTCGCCCCACGGCCCCACCAGACATGGTAGCCTCCGTCTACGGCACCGACGAAACCAACATGGTGACCACATTCTGGGTCAGCTGGAACGGCGCGACGGATGTCGCAGAGTGGCGTTTCTACGCACAAGCCTCCGAGTTCCACGACCCTGTCTTTATCGGCAAGACCCCCCGATCCGATTTCGAAACCATGTACATCGCCCGCGGATATCTGGACTGGGTATCTGCCGAGGCAGTGGATGTCAATGGCACTGTGCTAGATAGGTCCGAAATGCACCGAAGCAAATCCCCCGACTGGAAGTCTGTCGGATATAGAGGGAAGTCAACCACACCCATTCCGGTTGACCCATCGATTATGTACCAAGCAAGCGATAGCGCGACAGACGACAATGCGGTCAACGAGTCTAACCGCACCTCATCGGATGCAGTCGATACCCAAACACAGAAGACCACCCAAATCCTCAAGCATACATACGATGCTATCCGCAGCATTAGCGGTATCTTTTCTTTTGTCTTGCTTCTTTGTGTGTTCGTTGGCGTTATGGCATGCTATATGGTTATCCGTGGCTGGCGCGTCCGGGTCTACCAGCGTCTTGCTACGGAAGATGGGCTACCAGGCGAGCGGGCGCATCTTGCATCGCCGCACGAGGATTGAGTTGCTTTGACTTTTGTCAAAAGCATTAAACGCTATTTGCATTATTTGTGGGAGTTTTCGTACATTATTTTTCGGGTCTTTGGTGGGCTCTGGTCCAATGTGTATATAGTACTGGTTCCTAGTTTCGTCGACTACATACCCGGCCATATCAGGGTGTTTTTGGATTTCGCGATATACCACGATTTGTTCAGATTCGACCTCAACTGTAATTCTGTTTTGATATGTGGAAAGGCTTTGTTTTTCACCTATATTTTCCATTTACATTTTCTCCCTTTCTGGGTCACAAATGCGCAGGCACATTTCTAGTCACGTCGACGCCAGATAGAGACTCTGTCATGGATCACCCCATTCTCACCCTGGCCCACAGTGTGCGTGCGCTCTGGCTGCCAGTACGCCACTCTCTCCAGGCCGGCCTTGCTGGGCTCTCGCAACGGGTCCGCATTGACAAGACCCTTATCGTTGTAGGAGATCTTCTCACCGGGGTAGCTCAGGTGCTCCATATAGGCCTCGGAGGGAGAGGCAAATGGAGGGCCGGGGGCTAAGGGGTCCTTATGACGAGGAGATTCCAGACAGATCAGATTGCCTGCAGGTGAGGGAGCAAGGAGCTCGGTGTGTCGGAGAGCCCATTTAGGACGGAGCTCTCGGTTCAGAGCACAGAAAAACTAGATGATTATTAGCAGGGAGGACCAGAAAGACCAGAAAGAATAGAAAGATCTAGGGTGGGTCGGAAATAGCACATCAAAAGTCCAAAGACAGAGAGTGAAGCATCTTGTAGGTCCCCCTGTAGAACGCAGAGTACAAGTGGAGAGAAAATGATAGCAATAACGGAATGGAGCCCAACGGCGGCAGTGAGTATACATACCGTGTAATCGTAAATAACATCAAATCCATTTCGAGGTACTCCAATTTCCTTCAACCAGGTATCATCAAAGAAATCCCCCTGGACGAAAATGACCTTCCCTTTCCCAACTTTCTCGTCTCGCACGCGGTACCGGCTCTGGTTCTCCTTCTCCTCCTTCATGCACGCATCGACAGCCGCGGCGCTGCACTCCAGGCCATAGGCATCATACCCAAAGCTCGCCAGTAAGAGTACATCGACACCACGTCCACAGCCCGGCACCAGGGCCTTCCGCCTCTGACCGTCCTGGGCGATGGGCCCGCCAATGGTGCCAGCTCGCTCGACCAGGGTGTCTTCTAGCGCCGGATTGGGGAAGCCACGATCCCAGGGCAGATTATCACCTTTGTCCCAGAGGGAGGCCCAGCCCTCAACATATTTGTCGTCCTGATATTTGGCCCAGTATGCTTGAATATCCTTGGGATTAATGTTGGTAGGAGTCGTCATGGCTGTGGGGTGGCGATGGAGTGTGGGGGAAGTTGGTGCTCGCTCTGGCGTGACAGTGATAAACAGGATAGAGAACAGGAATAGTACAGAGCGGCCAGAAACTATTGACTTTATAGGGAAGTAAATGATATTGTAATTGAATGTCTTTACGTTATGATTAGAATCATTGTCGATGGATAACCTTAAGCTCCGATCGCGAACCAATAGTCAGTTAGGTGTTGGATCGAAAGTTAATCAGTCTTTACCTGTTTATTCATCATACCGAGAGAGGTATGTCGAGAAAAGTGGAGCTTTCTATTATAGTGGCATGGGATTGGCCCATATTACACCGTCCTACTTATTGTGCATGCCTTGTGTACAACAGTATGTTGTATTTTCTTGACATTGAGCAGGACGATCATAGACTCGTGGTCTCCGGTCTAGCCCGATTGCTCGGGATAGAGCAGAGACTGTGACTGACCTGGCCTGGGGGCTTCCAGATAATGCCAAATACACGTGACCCCATATCTACTGTAATTATTTCACTTATACTGTACCAGATGCCACTTTTGAACAGCAAGTGCGTTGAAACACAACAACTTCAATGTTTCCTTCTGTTGCAATACCAAGACCTGTTGAATCGTGCTGTAAAACGTGGTCAAATTTCATCTCTGTTCCAATTTTTTTAATTTTTTAATTTTTTAATTTTTATATATATTTCTGCTGCGTCTAGAATTAGCAGTGCAGTTAAACACACTACTATAAGCATCTTGCTCACAACTTATTACAGGCAAGCGGAAATCTCGGGCCCGCCGCCCTCCAAGTCACTCACACTCGCTCAAATCTGCCATGCAAAGTCAGGACGTTATGATTGGTGGTGATGCAGCCGGGCACTAAAAAGATAAGGTTTTGACTGATGAAAACAACTTTGATGCTACGCCACCCGGAAATATGAATAAACATTTCGACGTAAAGGTCCAAGGTCTGATCAGAAGGGAGTAGTAGTGGCGGTGCTATATTAATAATCAAGCGGATAGGTTAGTTGACTAACTTAAATTCAGAAAGAAATTCCGATAGAAAAAAGATAAGCATAACTATTAAGAATAAGTGGGTTTAGTTGGTCTTTTTTAACGTACTGGATTGATTCTAGTCGTTCGATCATCGTAGCCCGTAATAAATATGATATATAGTTGCGTGCCGAGCGAAATGGCGGACCTATGGTAGCTCCGTCCGTTATTGCTCTTTACCATTTATGCTTGACCATTTGCAGTTAACCATCAAATGTTTATTATGGGTTGTGAAAATTTATAATCGTTCGTTGTTAACCGTACAATGATTCACTATCGTTGCGTTACTGACTATATCTCCTTACCGTTGTTTTCTTGGGCTTTATCTACTATAGCTTTACTGTCACGTATTTATACTCGATGGAGGTAGGATAGAAGGACATAACTCTGTATGATATACTTGTTCTCTGGCGGACTTTGTACAGTACGATACTGTATAGTAGTAGAGGTCTTTAGGTGCCCTAGGGTGGATAGGAGAGATTTTATAGCGATAGCTCCTGAATTTCGAAGTATCCGTCTGCGGTAGCTCCGATGCTAGTAACGCGTAAATTGGACTAACAACGAGTAAGGAGGCCGTAAATTCGATTTTATTAGCGAAGGGGGGGTGATATATCGGGTCTAAACAAGCCGGAGGTATAACAAGAAAGGGCTTATTAGGCAAGACGATATATAATTTAGAGTATAAGGCAATATAAAGGTGCCAGGGGTAGAATAGGGGAAAGTACGTTTATTATCGAGCTCTTCTTTTGACGACTTAATGAAGATACGAACTTTGATTGGATTCCAGCCATAGGCTACTTCACTAGTTTATTATTCAGTTCTCGTGCCACGCAGTATTATTCCTAGGACTTAATCACAAATACCAGGGGCCGTGCCCTCTATATATCTAGTCCTGCCTAATTAATAAACAGTAGGTTTACTATACAACACCGCCCGTTAAGTCGTTAGCGGTTGTAGGCTTAGTAAACTTTACGTTAGTGACAATAGCCCTAAGACCTAATACGTCATTTTCTGATCCAACCTTTCAACCTATATAGATTGTCGCGAGGAAGCCGTAGGACCCAGTCTCCATTATCTCCGCAAGTGGTTCAAGCCGATTATACGCCGGCCTCGCACGTCCGTGTTATAGTGTATACTCTTAGTGCAGCCGGTCCAAATACTAGCGACAATCATTAGTCAATATACTTGCTCCATCTTGATCGCGTGTCGTTAACTCGCATCAACATTAGGGCTGACTTTGAAGATCTAACAGGGATCCTTAAGTGGACCCAGCATGGCTACACCTAAACTACATCTGCCATCACGTATTAGGACTTCCTAGTTGCAGTAGGAGTTACTGTATTATTCTTCGCATGCCTCATCTACAGCCTTCGCCGTGACAGATACGAGATGTCTGGGGGGCTCGGGTTACCGGTGGTGGGTGTAAGTTTAAGAAAACTTTTGAGAGCATTCCCATGCTGATTTACCAAATTAGCTATACCATCATACCCGATCTAGCACAGAAAAGCTACATCCACCAGGCTACCCCCAACGAAATTTGGCCGAACCTATTGTATCTGTATCACATAAATTAGGGGCACTAGCCATTACGCATGGTTTAGGGGGAGTTCTATTAGCAAACTCTCAAAGCAAGGGTGCATACGTCAACTATAAAGTCTAGGTTGACGAGGCTCTGACTAGATTCCACGAACTAGCAATCGGAGATATTGAAGGTTTCTTGTTCTGATGTACCTGTAGCAAAAACCGGCAGAGTAGGACAGGCGAGAATAACATTAAAACTAAGCACAGGTTGGAGTAGATTTACTGCAAGCGAACTGGGCGCCAAGGAGAATTTGGGCCGTTAAGATTTGGTTAAGAATGGACACAGAACGATTATATGGTGGGTGCTAATCACACCTCAAGCGCTTAGAAAGATTTCATCACATTTGAAGCCAATAAAAAACATTTCTTTTACCGCTTATGACCCAGGTGTAGATAAGGCTAGTCCAGAGAAAAGCCTAGATGCGCGAATAAGAGTGGGGTCAACATTGACCGAGGTGTTTTAGCCGAAGAGCATCGTTGGTGGTGAAAACAAACCACAACAACAGTATAGTATACGGTAACTCATGTCTTCGAAGGTCTATATTTGCCAGTTTGATAATGACAAACACGCCATTCATCTACCAACTAGTGCTCATAGCCGATCACACTCATGATGAGCTTCACCGGTAAAACAGCTTCGAAGCAGCATAATAAAAGTGTGCTATTATACAAGTCTGGTGGATGCAAAATGTGCAGGAGAAGGTTCCCTCTGGGCCCTCAATTTTCTGCCGGACTAGAACCGTTTTCAAGCTAATTTATCCTCGGTTTCTGCCCGCTCTTGAAGTTTGTGGCGGGAATACATGTTTATACCATGAGCCTTTTGACCTCTTTAACATAATCGGGCTATCCTTTAATACGGAAGTGTTGCAACGGAAGTCACATAATGGCTAAATCACTTGGCATCTTCATCTAGCCTCTGAGGCTTCAGATCATGGTTAAAAATTTGCGGACCACCCTCAAGAAAACTATGTCGATACTCCATGTGGCAACGTGTGCTCTGGTGCAGACAATTCATATTTAAAGCCATGCGGTGTGCTCTTCATACTATCCACCCAAGACAAGATAGTCTATCATTCCTGAGGTCGTTCGAAGATGTATTTTTTCTTAGTTGCGATTCCAGTCATGATTCAGACGGGCACCTTCCAAGCCGGAACTCTTGAGGTCATAGATCATGATGGGCAATGCCTGATATGGTCTAACGATAACTATGGCTGCACGGGCTACTCTGCGGCTTTTGGCCATCTCGATGGAGTTGATTGTTCGGGTAGGCACCCTCCATTGAAACTTAAGACGCTATTAACAATTTGCTAGAGCTCAGTGAAGTCGTCAAGGGCAATCGCCATGAATTGAATGTGCTCAATATCGACGTATGCGGTAGAGAAGACGGCTCGCGTGCTGCTTGGATCTAGGTGAACCACACGGGCCTGGTCACTTTTACCAATAAAAATGGGAATGAAGCTCCTGTGTACTCAATAATAGATTGAAGACTGGTAGCTGATTTGTTACTGTTGGAAATAGGGGCAAAACAAATTCGCCCTCCTACTCATCCACCAGTAAACCACCCACTAGCACTCCATCTACCAGCGCCCCATCTATCACCATTACTGTCGCTTCTCTCATTACCACTACCACTGCTATTGTCTGTGTTACAGAGTAGATATTGGAGGTTATCGAGCAAGATATGACCGCTGAGAATTTCCAAAGACTCAATTCGTATGATATCGAAGTCCCTGGTTCCATTGGAATTACGGCAAACGTAATGAACCTACATACGTACCTGTATGTACCGGATTTTAGGCCGCGGATACGAATTTCCCGATCGGGGTGCCGCCGCTTTATGAGGGCGCTCAGGGTCCTGCTCACTGAGTATTTCACAGTACAGGGTGATTGCTCAGTGAGCGCTCCGGGTATGCTCATTCAGCACTCAGGTCTTGCTCACTGAGTTAGTTAACTAGTTATGATATATAGTAGAAATTACCGAGTCAATATAGACCGGAATATCGATAGACCGTTATAATAACAGTACTATACAAAATTATATACATTGCTTAATCATCGATATCCGTATAGATTGGAAAACCAACAGACTTTGTCAATTTAGTGAGTAAGAGATTTTTACATGCTGTGAATTTTACATACATTGTCGTATACGTCGAGTTTCTGTCAACTAACTCCAGCGAAAGCTTATCCACCTCTATTGGGATTTCCAGTGGAAAGGGAAGCGATGTGATTGATGCTAACAGATTTCATCGCAGACTTGATGCTTGAAACAAATCCTCAGGGCGTCGGGGTTAGCTCAATGGAGTTCCAAGATGTTTGACAGGATTTTCTTCTTTGATTGATTGAGCTTGCATTCCTAATGAAAGCGGTGTGGGTCCCAGGTAGTGCCTAAATATATATCGCAGTTAGTTCATGCCAATTTTCAACAACGATAAATTGTAAAAATCACTTACCATCAGGTCGTTTAATTAAACCCTGTTTGTCATGTTCAGAAAACTTTCGTTCATCTAGCCAGTCCTCAAACCATTCCCAATCAACACAGGAATGCTCAACCTTATTGTGGGCATGAGGATCATATTGGCCCGTTCGCCAGCCATAGGTGTACATATTCAAATCTGGCTGACACATTAGGCTTACACGGAGTGTTTGTAAACAATGTTCTGATTCAAAAAGGGGGTGTCAGTGACCTAAATGTTCATAAACAGTGGAGATTGTAATACCTATATGCTCCGGGTATGCCATCCCCGGCTCCGCCTCGTATTTCTGTACGTCAGGATAGTAGTCCTTGGCTAGGTACTGACGGATAACCTTCTAGAATAAGGATTAGATGTAAGGAATGAGATGAGAGAGAGATTAGTAATTTACCAAGCAATGTAACTGATGGAAAACCTCTACTGACCCCCAGTAGTCTCCTGAGCTATCCGCTATTGGAATGGAAGTCTGGTTCATCCTTTGCAACGAGTCTCCCGAAACCCGTATGTTTATTCCTATTTTAAGGTAAGCATTATGCGATCATAGAGGTTGCCAGAACGAACTACTCATTAAATCCTCCCATGCTTGATCAACCTCTGGACTGGGATTCCCTGCAAACATAGAGTTGACCAACCTACTACTATCGATTGTGACAAGTTTGTACTTCATAGCCTCGCGAGCAGGTGCTATACAATGCGATTAATGAGTATACTTTGAAGCTTTTGTGGTTGTCTCACAATATATCGATTGCTCTTCCGGATCTTTCACACCAGAGCAGTTTTTAGAGAAGGTTCTTGACAATATGCCTGCTGAAATCAGGTACAATAAAAAGAAAAATATGTGCAATGAGCATTGTCGGAGAAGCGAAGGCCTGTTCAAGGCATGATTTTTCGACCAGATTGAGTCATCTCCCGGTATACTGCGGTCCGTATCAAAGCTTGTGTTTAGTGGAACTGCAGACTCGGTCTCTGCTTTGTATTCCATCTTGGTTTCATTCATGAAAATGAGCCGAATTTCGAATATGAGAAATTATTGATATCACCTTCCTTCTATTCGTGGATATAATATGTTGAGCGACATGTGATGTTCGCTTTCGTCGACGTACTGTAGGAAAGTTTGCGAGGTCAATTCTCTGTGAAGGAATGTCTTATCCTTGAAAGTGTATTCTTCAGGGTTTCTGACTAAGAAAGTAAATGCTAATGCATATCTTTAGTAAGGTTTACTACGTACCAGTCAGCTAGTCAACCGTGACCTGTATTACGTAAGATTTAATAGTTAGTAATTTTCAACTTATTCAGCAACTTACAAGAGTGCATTACTCTGCAGATTTAAGATCATGTAGGTGTGTAAGAAGGTATGGGAATGGGACATAGTATGATATCTGTAACCTTGGTAGAAGGTTCACGTGCACAGTGGAGAGAAGCCCTGGAGGTGGAGAGATTCTGTGACGTCATCCAAAAAACTAGAACCTTACACCCACGAGTCACGACACTCCAATGCAGCGTGTGACATATAGCCTCCTTTGCAATTATGAATACTCAGCGCTTAAAGGATAAGATGCAGAGGAGAAAGAAGATAAAGAGGACTTAAGTGCTTAAGACTACAAACTCCCACCAATAAAACATGGCCGGATCCATGCATAGCAGTAAATCCCTTCCCATTCAACATTGACAATTAAGCAAGAAAATGCGAAGCCTGCTGGCCAGATCTACAGCTATATGAGATAAGTGAATTAATACTGTGAGGTCTGTGTATTAATATCTCCATTCGATGTCTGTCTAATCATAGTATAGGAAGACATTCCCGGATGAGCAGGCGCAACATGCTGGGCTAACTACTGATTGAAAGGTGGGTGATGATGACATGCCATTTCCTTCAGCTCATGACCGACCTCCATCATTCCCGTCAGAACAAACATCCGATGAAAAAGGTCAAGACCCTTAATAGGGAGTCGCGTCCTCCATCGAGCGCTTGTAGGGGGTGGCATCCTCCATGGACCGCTTGTAGGGAGTCGCGTCCTCCATCGAGCGCTTGTAGGGGGTGGCATCCTCCATGGATCGCTTGTAGGGGGTCGCGTCCTCCATGGACCGCTTGTAGGGAGTCGCGTCCTCCATCGAGCGCTTGTAGGGGGTGGCATCCTCCATGGATCGCTTGTAGGGGGTGGCATCCTCCATGGACCGCTTGTAAGGAGTGGCGTCCTCCATGGACCGCTTGTAGGGAGTCGCGTCCTCCATCGAGCGCTTGTAGGGGGTGGCATCCTCCATTGTTGGCATAGCCCAAGTCGTGGATAGCACGACCAGGAGGAGAGAGGAGGCGATTGCAATTGGACGCATGTTGAAGGTAATTAGGTCTGTTGTGAGGCTGGGTGGCTTGTCTTGAGTTGTCTGGGACGGAACTTTGATGATGGTCTAAAACACGTCTTGTGGTGCGAATTTATAAGTCTTTATAACTAAAAAGTTGTACTTTCTGCATAGTATTACTACAAGAGAACTTACTTCACTAGATTTCAAAGCATATTTGTGATAAATGTATGATCACAAGTCAGAAGCCATTGATTGACTAGGAATAGAATTGGATCTACCGATAACTAAAGTTTCTGACACCAACGAAGATCATACTGTAGCCAAATCCAAAGGCCTGTTAGATCTGTAGACAGATGAGTCGTGACACAGTCAGAAAATTCCGTGTCGAACCCGTTAGAAGCACAATCCCTCCACGTCCTAGCACACAGTACAAGGGGATATTCAATCTTTCACTATTTCTTTCCAAATAGACTGAGTTCACTCATGCATTAGTAATCATAGCTCCCTATAATAATAGTTCAGGGATTTTATATTTGTTTCCACCGTCCATCGTTCATGACGCATAGGCTTATGAAGGGCTATAAAACTTTGCGCGTACGAGATTGAAAATTTGCAATAGCACATCCTCACTCCACATTTGACATGGATTTGTATGAACGACTGTCCTGGCCAAAAAGTCGAATTTCCACGCCCTCAGAGTTTGACTCCAAGGAAGAGAGCGAGGGGCTGTTACAGCAAACTAGTCTCCTTCACCCAAGAGGGACAAGACTACGCAAGACTCTCGCCGGTATCAGTGCAGCCCTCATGCTCATCGTTCTCATGCAAAGCATAATTATCTTTCGAATGAGCAAGGTGGTATCGGGCCAGCTTCCAAAAACATCCCCCAGTTTGTTACCCCTCTGGGCTATGGAAACCCAACCTTTTCAAAACTGACATCCCTGTACCAGACGGACTTTCCTACGCGAGGGACAAGGAACGACTAGCACACGTGCCTACACGTTTCTGGAACGGGGACGAGGGTGAAGAAGACAAGTCTTGGACAGCAATTGAGGGAGGTCATGGCCTTGTCTCAGTTTCACCCGAGTGGGCGTCGGAACGGGGTCTTCCGGAAACACTTGTGCATCCCCGCGATCCTTCGAAGCGAGTATATGTGATCGAAGCATACCATTCAATTCACTGTCTGGTACTATTTCCTTCTTGAAGACTAAGGGTGCGGATTCAAAAGCTAACCATGCTGCCCATCAGCAAACCCTTCGTCGGCATTACCTGAATCTACGACGAGGCGAAACGCCGGATCGTCCCATGGAACATGATCTTCACTGCTTTGATTCCCTCCGCCAAAGTGTTATGTGCCAGGCGAATGATGAGCTTTTGTATACCACAGGGCATAACGATGCAGGCATTAACCAAACTCGTATGTGCCGAGATTGGGATGCACTGCGAGAGTGGGCGACCGGTTTCACATCATGTTATCATGACTATGTTGCACCACCGGGAGAGACGAAATGGGGAAAGTGTGACAACGGCATGGATGGCCTACCATATGGCTCGCTATTATCATGAGGTAGTCGGTATGAATTCTGTTATCCAATGAATCTGGGATTGGCATACTGTTCCATGGATGTATATTATCGGAGACCTTGAATGGAATAGGCGACATTCCCAATAAAATTAGATAAAGCGAGGTCAACGAATGATCAGGAAACATAGGAATGTTGTATTAAATCAATAAATCAAGAACCCTAGTTCTATTGACAAATTCGAAGTGACAAAATTCCTTGATTATTGTGTAGGGCTTTCTTCTGACCAAAAGAGGTACTTGTCCCTGAAGCAAATCTTGGAAAGGTCCTACACAACCCGAATAACCCACATAAATGATATAGAGCAGTTGTTGCTACTCATGATACGTGGTTAAGAATAAAGAATCCCCCAGATCACAGCGCTGCCTAAATAGAACGCGTTTCTGTCTCATATGCTCTCGATTAACCCCCCTGTTGTTCCCCCACCTGGTCGCACTTTCTACTTGCCCACCTTGCTTCACCCCTTCCATCCTGCTCAAGTCTCAACTGTTGATGACGGCTCTGGGCTTCTGCTAAATGCATACTTTTCCTTCTTCTTCAGAATCAGGCCAGAGGTACCTTCTTTCGCTACTCAAAGTTGGTTCTCCTTTTCTTTGTCACCTAGTACCATGGCTACGAGGCCTGCAGATTCATTTTATTAACCCGGAAGTTGTTCAAAATCGGCGCATTGATAAGACCTATGACGGGGTGGCAGTCTATCGACTCCTTGAGATAAGTTCCTGCTCCGAAAACATCCCCCTCATCCTCATACGAATTCAATGTCTACTTTTTGATTCTCATGACATGATCGAAGCATATGGGAGGAAGACCGATATCGAGACAAACTACCATTCTGGTCGGTGCACTCTACAAGCACTCAGACGGTGACCCTGACTGTTTAATTTCCTACTACCTTGAAGCCCTTGTCCATCACTTGCGCATGCGCTCCGGAGTCTGCACTGGAAGCAACCTGGACTATGTAAGGCCATTGTTCTGAGCCCTCTCACCTTATCGCTTCCAAAGGACTGACTTGTTTTGCGTCAGCGGTTTCTTTGCCGGAATGTGGAAAATAAGCAAATCATGACTGCGGAGGAAAGCTTGGGCGTTTATGCAACCCGACGGCTCTTGCGCGATTATAGATCGACATTATTACTTCCTGGCCGGACTCTCGATGTGAACCTTTCGGCACTTGACAAGTAGCCTTGCTGTCAGACAAGATGACTAATGTACACTGACTCTAGGTTGCAGTCTCGCTCCGGAGCCTGAAGCCCAAGGCCTTTAAGAGCTATCTCAATATCGCTAGCCTCAGCAAGGTGCACAGGCTCGTATCTCGTATAAATGACGTTTGTCCCAATTATTATCTCTTGAACTACAAAGGCCCCTCCCACCGCTATCCGTGAAGACTATCGATATTGGTGGACTCCGGTCCAAATTAGTCGTCATTTACTACATCACAATCCTATCGTGAAAACTCTGCGCCAGTTGGTGGTACTCAATCACGCCGTGCCACTCCTAGGGGATGAGTTTCAGTATTATTCGAAATACCATTCCACCTTCCACCCATCCGACCATGCCAGATAGGTATCTTTGATCACCTGGGGCCTACGGAGGGGCCCGAACGTCTCGGTTTGGTTTCCTGAGGTTACTTGCACACCATACCGAGCACGCCCATGGGTGTCCCATCTCGATTTGCATCTTTGTCCATTCGAAGGGTCATTTATTTATTGATAATTTCAAGGGCCATTGACAACGAAAGAACAACGAAGCATTGCGTGTTTATCAAATTCTCAATCTGCCGCCTTCGTGTTAAAGCTTGCCTCAGAATCAACTCTCAGAAGGACAACCGATCTTGGCATTTATCTCAACGCTTTATTAAAATTGCGAAACTCAAATGACTCCATATTGTGTGATTGAACGCTACGTCCACTGACTTATATATACCACTTTCGCAGTCTAGGGCTTTTTGTTCAGGTATTGCTTGCTCATGCAGCTATCAACCCAGCAAAGCAACAGATCTAGCGAAGTTTTCCGATAAAAATATAACATAGACACAGGACTTCAATGTCTCGTTACGATATCCCTAAGCTTCCTACTGACTCCACGAGTTGGCTTTCTCGCGGAGATAAGGTAGAACCTTAGGAATGTATCGCTTTCTGCTAACTTGTTAAGCATTGAATGCAATTAACGACTAGGAAAATTCGGCTGTGTACTAATAAGATATGGCTGTATCAAATTTGGTGAACCCGACCCTGTTGGCACATTCGAGAAGGAACTCCATCCCTTCTTGCAAGCTCGCCGTCTCCATGGTATATCTTCATATGTCTGTCCATGAATTCCTGTTCCCCCCAAGGAAAGGAGATTATTCAAACTCTGGGGGGATCTTTGGCCATTGATAAGGGTAGGCTCCAGAAAGGACACGGGATACCTCGTCTTGAGAAGCAACCAGGGAGGCAGCCAGCCAGTGTGGCAGTGTGGGCAGATTGGAATAAGCACTATCACAATCATGGAGCGCATGATGCCTTATCACTTTCGCTTTCTCCATTTCAACGTGTCTCATCTAGGATTTTTCTCCAGGTCGCTATATCTCTGTTCTTTTCTCTCCGCATTTCGTCCCCAATGGAGGTAGCAAATGTCTCGGGCCAAAAGGTTGGTGTGGACCCTTTCATCTCCAGTGGTAGAAATGATCTCTGAGATGGCATAGCGCAATATAACAGGCACATTTTCATTAGGGACACCAAAATTCTGTTTCACAGAGGGCCGTGCCGAAAGTTGAGTGATGACCACTCCACATCGCTGGCAGTGATTTGGTGATTGCGCTGCACGTCGAGTCTCAAGTGTTGAAAACTGCGGTCGTTGATTAAACGTTGGACTGAGTTTCACAAGAGGGTGTTAGGCGAGGAGCATCCTGAGACCGTTTGGAGCATGCGCGAGCTGGGTTTAACACTCCGGGGCCTGGGCCAATTTCAGGAGGCCGAGGCGCTAGAGGCACAAATCCCAGAGAGTCCTTAACGCAAGGTATCCTGATATCTTGCGTTCTCTAGCTCTAATTCAGCTCCATGGCGAACTGTAAAAGGAACCCCTGGGGCGATAGACGCGCAAGTCGCGTGAAGTCTGCACAATTTCTATCAATTAACTACGATAAATATCTGGTTAACCTAGGTAGTTGCAGAGTGATATGTCCACTACGTAGAGAGAGAGCTATGTCAAAAGCTCAGTCGTGATATTGACCTGAAATGCTCTACTTAAAAGCACAGCGAAGGCAGAGAAGGAAGAAAATAGCCTGTCCAGGTCTAAAAAGCAGAACTGGAAACCAGGTACTTTTGTCAAGCTCTCTCTGTCTCGCTCACGTTTCTTCCCCCGCCTTATCATCCCTAATCCTTAGTAATCGGGCATTCTGTTTCCGGGCTCTTCCCTCATGACTGATACGTAACACATGGCGCTTTCATGTCAGTCGAGCTGTTTCGGGAACAGAGCTCATTACAGGGTTACCAAATACCTTCCTGATCAAAGAATTCTATTCGGCATTTCGCGCAGTGAGCATCTTGCGTGAGGGAAGAAGGCTACTGGTTTTCTTCCCTTTCTTCCATGTGGGTGGTGTTAGCACGTATGTGTTGTGCAAGGAGAGGAAATGTGCAGCTAAGCATGCGGAGCCGAAGCTGGAAGGCAAGAGGAAAGCGGACGAAGTATATTAGGTCCTATGAAGAGAGAAAAGATCGAAGCAGATGGAAAGTGACGCTTCTCACAACTGGATCGTCACCTGACCTGTCAACAATATGTACGCACAAAGGCATCACAGTTCAATGGGATGATTTATCCTGATAGACCGACCATACTTCCAGAGATAGTACGGGGCCGGGATCATGGCAAGTGCGATAAAACCAAGCAGAGAATTTCCCCAACCCAGACCAAGACGATTATACAAAGGGGGCCCCACGAGCGGGAGCAGAGCCCCGAGAAGTGATCTGGAAACCGTGATGGCTGCCATTGCGGAGGCTGCATACCGGGGGAATGCATCGATCATGTACATCTGGATGGCGAAAAAGATACCCAGCATGCCAAATCCGAATGGGACCAGGCCGATAATGGGAACAATCCAAAATACAGCCTTGTCGGCTGCCCACCCGTACCAGAAGAGGGCAATGGGGATCAAGATGCCAAACAATACCATAAAAGGAAGCCGCATCTCGGGCTCGTAGACACCTTTATTCTTTTCCGTCAGCTTGACAATCAGCTTATCACTAGTCGAGGCAATGATCATAAGGCCAGCCAGGAATCCAAGACTGGGGCCCAAGTATGCCAACCCCGTGATTTCAGGCGACCAGTGATATGTGTCGCTGTAGACAGTGGTGATGGTGGTGAGAAGCAGGTAAAACAATCCATAGATCAAGGCCATGTAGCTGGAGAAGATAGCAACGACGCGCGAGAGGAAGAGCATACGCAGCGGTCGCGTCAGATCATGCTTCATCTTCTGCCAAGAGGATGGCGGTGGGCTGTTGACATCGTAAGTCTTGTCGTAGCAAGATCTCAAGTCACTCCGGTTCAGCTCCTTAGCTAGTCGGGCCGTCTTACGAGCCATCAACACTGGGGCGTAGCTCTCACGATTGAAGATCTCGATCGCGACACTGAACACCCCGCCAGCGCAGCAGAGGATCCAGAAAACCCATCTCCAGCCCGCCCGTTGCGCAATGAAACCTCCACAGATGGGGCCTAGCACGGGGCCGAAGATTACCCCCAAGACCGCGATGGCGTTGGCACCGCCGCGTTTTTCGGGGATAAACAGATCTGCCACCACCCCACCGTTAAGGGTCATACAACCTGCCCCGCCGATACCTGCCAAGAATCGAAAGGCAATTAGAGCGCCAATGCTAGGAGCCTGGGCGCAGCCGATTTGCCAGACCACGAAGGACCAATTGGAAATCGACATGACCGGACGTCGTCCCCAAATTTCGCTTGCGGGGCCTAGAAGAAGGGGTCCGACAACATAGCCTTTATTTTTTCGAGAGTTATCAGTGAATCAATTCTCCAATGAAAGCACACTTGATACATGAATTCTGGACCGGTCGCTCGACATACCGAGAAGATAAACAGACGTCACGAAGCTGGACAAGATGGAACTAGAATTGTGGAGATCGGCATCAATGTATGAGGCAGCCGGGGCCACGATTGTGGTAGCCAATGGTGAAATTAATGTAATGGCGGCGATTTGAGCGATGAGAGTCCACTTGTGGGCATTTGAGAAGTTCAACGGCATTGAAGGATCATGCTGACTATCCCAGCCAACGATACCGTTGTCAAGATCGGTAAGCTGCAGGATTATTTCTCCTGTGCCAGAATCAACGGGCGGAGCATCGGAAGCTGCCTGATCGTCTTCTGGCCCCGTGCTGGCCTCCTCGGCCTCACGGCCAGACTCGAGGGGCGCGAGAGCAATATCAGGAACCTGAAAAGAAGCCTGCCATCTCAGAGATTATTTCTACCACCGGAGAAGAAAGGGTCCACACCAACTTTTTGGTCCGAGACTTTTGCTTCCTCCATTGGGGACTAAATGTGTAGAGAAAAGAAGAGAGGTTTAAGGTTCTAGAGAGAACAGAGGTGTAAGGTTCTAGAGAGAAATCGTAGATGCAACATGTTCAAATGGAGAAAGCGGGGATGATAAGGCATCATGCGCCCCCTATTTCAATCTGCCCACACTGGCCACCTACCCCTGGTTTCTCGTCATTCGCAATTGAGTTACAACTCACAAGACGAGTAGCACTGAGACTGCAGTTTCTTTGTTTAGACCAGCCAATCGGAGCTTCACGTTAGGGAGAACCCGTCGCAGGGACTAACCGGAAATATTCTAGTAGAATGGCCATACCAGAGCGTGAGAGATATTTGCGTAAGCGAGGCGCCCGACGGGAAGGAGGAAGAACTAGGCACGGAGTTCCAACCATTTAGCGTGGCTAACCGACCTTGTCTGCGTCAGGCAATTTGTCGAGTAGATTGGGTCTGGCCAGGGCCTGGCCGTTTCACGTATCTCGGAATTCTGACTCAGAATCTTACTGTATCACGGATGATCATCGGGTGGGACTCCCGTAATGCTTGTTAAGACTTGGCCATCGGATCAGTCCAACTAGCTGTCCTAGTGAGAAGCTTAGTGTTCGGTCAGACGCGGGGTGAAGTCAGGTCAGCAGACCCAGCTCTTTCTCGACAAGATCTCACTGGCACATGAACAATTGACATGGGTCACTACTAATCCGTAGTGGTAAAAAAATAAGAAAACAATATGTATCATTCATAGGGGGGGCAGGAGGATGAGGAGGGGAAAAGCAAAACGGGAAAGCTGATGAGGTACGAGATGTGGGACTGGACACCTGATATCTAAGGCCACATTACACATCTCTAAATGTAAATATGTACACTTTCATAGTCCATTCTGTATCAACTGTTCCCTTACATTTGAATTCAATCCATTTTACATTCCGCCCTTGGGCTACCTTTCCGAGTCCAAGAAATCGGTGATCAGTACGGTTAGCCATGTCATTCCAGTCCGACCCGGCCCCTTCATCTTCCGCAGATGTAGAGCTATATCCGGCGCAGCAGAGAACCGCCTACCCATGTCGCCTCAAAGATGTTAAAGAAAAAACACCTTGCCGTCTCCAAAGTCGTGCGGGGAGTCTTTACTTGCTGGCTCTATCGAGTGGATTTGGAACGTGAGTGTCCTCCTCCTACAAGTTGACCAGTGTCGTTAATATTTTAGCCTACAATTTGTGTTTGCTTTGTTAGCGTCGTATGGCACGGTAAAAGTCCTCCTCAACTTGTTCTAATCTACTGCGAACTTTTGCTAACGTTGCTAAATCCGCGCTGGTGCCAGCCCTATCTATTGTCAATTGGAATCACTCAGACCGGAACAGGATTGACCTGGCTAGCAGGTCCCCTTGCAGGAGCCCTTGTTCAACCTTTAATAGGTATATTCAGTGACAGATTTGGCAACCACAGACTACTCATAGCAAGTGGCATAGTTTGCCTTGTCATGTCACTCTTAACCTTGGGTTGGGCACCGGATTTAATTCGTCTAGGAAGACGAGGCCCGGTGTTAGCTAAGGTTATGGCAGTGGTTTCCGTGGTGGCACTAAATATATCCGTTCAACCTGTTCAGCTTGGATTGCGCACACTCATCGTCAAGACTTGTCACCCAGATCAACAAACCCTGGCTTCTGCGTGGGCGGCCCAGATGACTGGTGGTGGAAATATCATCGCACAAATGGCGGGATCAGTAGACTTGAGCCGGCTCAAGCCGCTTTTTACTGAGTCGCAGTTGAAGAACATGTGCTTAATAGCTTCTTTTGGGTTGATGTTAACTCTGCTGACGTTGATATTTATTATCGAAGAGGACGAGTCCCCCATCAGAGCTCAGAAGTGCACACAGCAGCATAAAACTTCGCTTACCTCGCTTCAAGCCATCTTGGCCGTTTGGAGAGGCATTCCCCAAGAAGTGATTATTGTTTGGAAGGTTCAATTTCTTTCGTGGATGGGTTGGTTTCCCTTCCTATTCTATACGGCTACGTAAGTAACGCTTAGCTGGTCTTGTTGACCAACAATGGACCCACCTTACCTCACACATTTCTAACTGGAAAAACCTACCAGATATATCAACAACATAGGCAAGTCAGCTCACGGAGTTCACAGTTAATCAGACACTAATCCTAGATTTCGCAGCGTTGAGCCAGCATCGCAATGACTCGGAGCAATACGATTCAGAGATAACGAACGACATGCGCATCGATTCATTGAAATTCGGCGCAGAAGCAATGCTTTTGAATGCTTGTGTGGCCTTTAGTGCGAGTCTGCTTCTACCAGCACTATGGGGCTGCCACAACCGCTCAGGTCAAACACATAACTCCTCCTATCAGCCGACTCTCTCAAGGATGTGGGTGGCCTCTCAGGTGCTATTCGGTGTGTGTATGATCGCTTTGTTCTGGGCCGTCACCATGATAACGGCCATGATTCCCATCGGGCTCCTAGGAATAAGCTGGGCATGTACCAGTTGGATCCCAAGTGCGCTTGTGAGCACCAAGATTTCTCAGGATATTATGAGGGTCTCCGATGATCAGACGGGCAGGACTGAAGCCTTTGGACCAGGGTTAGTAATGAGTCTGCACAATGTCTCTATCGCTGGCCCTCAGATTCTAGCGGCTTTGATCGCTAGTTTTATCTTGTATACTGTCCCTGAGCCTAGTGACCCACTTGCTTATGTGCTGGGTGTTGGTGGTGTGTTTGGATTGATCGGGGCGTGGATGGCTAGCAAGTTTGACACTATCTATTCATGAGCCGCATGTATTTGGAAACAATCAATCAAGCTCGGATCGAATCAGGGCACGACGGTTCATCTTTTTCCAAGGTTTCCATGGCTACTCCGTTATGTGGACCTTCATGTTGGTGGCTTACAGATCTGTCGCGATTCCCCATGAGGTTCCAAGGCTCTCTTATTAGGTCATTCAATGATCAATATAGCTGTATTACCTACGCTAGAAGATACGCTGGTTTGTAAGAAGCCTACTGTTACTCTATAGTTTATCTTTTGTTCCGAAGATCTAATTGGAATTATTGAAACATTGAAACCACTCCTTGAGAGCATCTGAAAACAGAATAAAGCCAAGCTCAAAAGGGGATGGCTGTCCAGAAATTGGAGTGTTCATTGAGGCCAGAAGATCGCTAACGTGGACCTGCTTTCAATAATCAATCATAGTCCTGCAAACTTCATTCATGTGTACCATACGTACCTGACCACCGTAACACTGGCCAAACACCGCATTGTCTTGTGGAACATCATTGCACTTGGGAATGACCTTTGTCGATTGTCTGATTAGGGCGCTTGGATTGATGGTTGTGTCCGCATGGACCCCTAGAACTCGCCACGGGTCGTATTGTCCGTTCGAAAACATGACCTATAACAAATTATGGGTGTGGTTAGCTCATGAAAATGGTATTTGAACTGTCTGACAGTCAACGAAGAGAGGGTTGGGTAAGGTCTCACATTAGACACGCTGATATTCCAGCCTCCATACTGATTGATTGAGCTTACATTGGGGGTTGTGAGCGTTGGTAGGTATGGGAATATTGATTTGCAGACTAAGGATTGTGTACTTGAAACGTTGTAGAATCGTGAAATGAAGTTCAGTGGGTTGCTAATATTGGCCACCTGGTCCTTCTTGTCAGCTAAGATGGCATGGTGGTTGTGAATCAGCCTCACCTGGAGATAGCCGAACTCGCTGCAGTACTGCCACATCCAACTTATACGATCTGCCGGAAATGGCGATGCACCTAGTGGAGATGTGCTTTCCTTACTTCTCTCATCTTTGACCTTTCGGTAGATAGCTGAAAGGAGCGCATTGAAAGCTGTGGACGAGTTGTGTGTGGTAGCCAAACCAATCGAAGTAGGCATCTGCTTGTTACGCAGAGGGCTTTCTAGAAATTCAACCCAGGAAGCCAGATTGGACTCCTCCGCCAAAGACGGAGAAGGAAAAGGAGGTGCGGATTTGATGTTGTAATGCTCCATATCGTCACAGAATTGTCGCAGTGACTGGGAAAATCCCTGCATCTGGAAACTGCGGGATGTGTGCTGGAAGGGAATGGCCAGTATCTGCGCGATCGTCCACAGACTCATCTCGGATGGCGAAGTTGGGAAGTCCTTGTAAGGTGAAAGTATGCCAGCTCTTAACCCCGGTGAGTCCAATGAGACCAACAGTCCTGTCATGTACACTGCTTGTCGGACTTCAGCTATCTCCTCATGTGTCCCACTATCCAATATGGTATCGGCGTGTGTTACTGCAGCGTGTAGGTCCATCGAGCAGTTTCTGGGAATGACGTGTTGCATAGTGCTGTAGTATACGGACATGTCGACCTGTGCTTGAACGGGTGCTGAGGATGCCCAGCTGGCGAACCATGTCTCGGGGTTGCGTTTCCGTGCTAGGGCGGCGCGAATGCCTAGAGACGACAAGGGAAAATGACAGTCAGCTATTCAATTCCTGCAATCGGAATACCTGTAAAAAGGGCCAACTCACCAGGGTAGCTTCCGCCGATAAAAACCCATGGTGTGTTGTGTGGGGATAAAGCGGACCAAAACCTGCTAAGGGTGGGTGGATGAAAGTTCTCCGAAAAGTAGACCGTGTCCTGTAGAGCCTGCACCGAGTAAGTAGGCAGCGTAAGGAGATGGAGGGGGTTAACAAACTTGCTCAACAGTGTGATATTTGTATGCCTCATAACCATCCACTGCGATCCCAGTTTCAAGGTCCAGCTCAAAAGGTAAACTTTGACCATAGAAACGGTGTTCCCACAGAATTGCGAGTCCACCATATCTTCGAGCAAGAGCCATGAGGGCCGAGCTCCCTAAGGACTCTTCTAGAAAGATTGAGACCATGGAGTCAGAAACCCCATGCTCACCTGCAGTGTTGTTGTTTTCAGTTATTTTGAACGCAGGGGATATGTCATTGAGAGCAAACACACCAGTGTCAAAGAAGAAAACCGGACCACCTTTTTTGTAAAATGTGTCATTGATCCAATACCTATTAGAAAACTTCCGCTCATCGCCCGTACCAAAATGATCGATGGGGATATCCCCTGTGAACCAAGAATCTACACGGTCGGACGTTGTGGACCTTTCGCCACTAGAAATAGGCACTTTAGCACTGTACCCAAACCAGGACAAAGATAGATTGGACAAAATGATCCATAAGGTAAAACAAAGCAATATTCCATATCCAAACACGGGCCGGCATTCAAAGTGTAGTGGCATGCCCAAGACGAAGAGTTTTGTATTGGTCCAACCTTGGAAGATCGGATAATCATTGGAGTTTATAGTTTTATTTATAATCCATCTACCTTTATTGTTCAGTGGGAATCCCAGGTATGACCTGATGCATTGATGGAGAATGGGGTACTTTGCATAACAGAACAGTCAGAGTATTTTATGACACTCAATACCTAATTGGCTGAGGCTCTATAAATAGATATTGAGCATTTTCCAATCCAAGGTCAACGTATTGCGTGTTGTGGGGGACGACAAGTCTCGCTGCGAAACCTCCATCTCCACAAAATTAAAGGGCAAGAAACCAATACTTAGTACTGAGAGCTCATTCGGGGTCTCTCGCTCTTGCCCAGATCGTTCTCTTGCATTGCCTCATTGCTGTCGGAAGATTGGTCCTCACCTTCTGCCGTTAGTGTGTAGAGGCTTTCGCTACCCGGAGCCGAAGCCCCATTTGTGGGAGCATGCCTGGCCCACCGAACCGTCTTTTTTCTTGAAAGGAGAGACCATACTGGAATATGAGGCATTCCCACTGGTTTACCGGCTCTATGTCGATACGCGACAAATACAAGGCCGCCAAACTCCAGACATGCGGCGACCACAAACCAGCCCTGAAGGGTCACTGTGTAGTCACTGAGGCGTAGACCCATGGCTACATTCGTCCAGCCCAGTATCAAAACTACCCATCCCAGCCAAACATGCACATCTCCCATCTTTGTCTTGCGCTTGAGTCGCTCGTATTTCATGTGGTGCATCCATCCGAGAATCCCTTGAAGTAGGATAGTGGTGGCTATGACAAGGCCAATGTATTGATGCCAGGTATGAACTCCATGACTCAACAGAAAACCCAGGGTCATTCCAGCAAAGGCAGTCATGGAGCCTAGCATTTGCATGGAAACATGAACGATGAAGGACTTGGCTGAAGAAACGCGAAGAAAGAGAATTCCACTAGGGAAAAACACGTAGAATGAACTGGCCATGAGAAGCCCGTGAATAACCCAGAGCTTTCTCTGCGATAATATATATCGAGGATTTTCAGAGGTGTCCTCAGCGGCAGGGGGGTTTCCATGTTCGGGATTTTCGCCGGCGAAGGATGATAATGCGATATTATATGCGATTGTGTCGGGAAGCTGAGGGGGTGCTAATGTTGTTTCCTTGAACATATCGAGATCGAAGCTGCCGAAGCGGTCGTGAAGAAACAATGGCGCGTTATCCGAGTAATTTGAGGTGGATAAATATTGATCGGTGTTGACAGCCCAGATCATAGGCAAAACGTGGGTTGAGGCGCTAATGTCCGCATTGAACCAAGCATTACACCCATAACAGGTAAAGCTTGCTGACGCGACTCTCGCCTGGTCCCTGTCAGAGGTCTCCCATCCAACATCCAGGTAGCCAACATGGACCCCGTTCTGATGCTGATCTCCCATAGCCAGTGCAGCTGGAGCCATATGGTGGGTTGTGGAGCGGATGCTGAGGGTGGGTGGCAGATGTGAATTTGGGTCTCCATAAAGGATAAACATCAAAGCTCCATCCATATGATTTCCCATTCCAAAGGCTGTCCAGCCAGCAGCGTCATACTGAGTTCTTTTGAAAGTAAAGATGAAATCTTGTTTTGAAATGGCCGTGTCAACATACGTCGACAATGAAACACAGAAGTCGTTATTCGAATTGGAACCAAATGACTTGCAAAAGACGTCTGGCTCAGCCCAAGCACTGGATATAAAGAGAGAAGCAATAAGAGGAGCAAACAAAAACTGCATGTTGAACTATTGTGTTGGATTTCTTCCACATATAAAGGCCTATGAAGTCAATATATCTTTGAGATCGCGTATCAAGATATGGAGCAGAAATCGGCATTATTTTGCGCTGGAAATTTCCCATTATAGTCAGATTTTACGTAGCTTGGAATGGTCTGAGCCGAGTGACTAAGGTACAGTCAGATTTATGATATAGGACAGATGGCTACGAAGCAAACTAGATTTCGCTTTAGAGAAAGTCTTGTCCCACTCTCATCTCAAAAGTTCTAGCTTGACATAACATGCCACCCTTGTGTTATCATTAACATTTCATGTTAGCTGGATAAAGCCCCGGGGATACGGATGGGTAAATGCCCGCACCAAGCATTAGTATCTTTGAAATACAATATTTTTGAATTTAATGGGGCGTTGAAGGAAGTGGTAGCACGTATTAGCTGGATGTGTAAATAAAATTTATCAAATAATAACTCGATCAAGATTGGTTTTACACATGACTCAATATCTATAGCACATGACGTCGGTATCAGTACGCAGAACATCGCCAGCAGCAATGTTTGGAAGTAATCCCCCAACGTCGAGCTTATCAGACATCAAAGCAGATCTATTCGATCCATACCAAGCCTTTCCGTACATGTCTGAAAACCTTGTCGCGGGCTTCATTGACTGCCACAGCCACCATAAACGGTCAAGTTGTACGTGGGCGAGCCAAAAAATTGGATCTAGTTTATATGTTAGCCAGTGTACAGCTGGGTAAGGCAGATATATATTACCGTTTGGGGCACTGGTTTGCATCCACTCGCCTTGAATTACATACGGCATCGATTTGTGGGCATCCTTCTCAAGCCAGTGAGTGAAGTCATGATACTCGTCTTTCTGCATTAACTTTTCAATCGCGGAAGGCGAAATCTTGCTCATTGCCAACTCAAGCGTTTCACCCGAGCGTATGGCACGTGAGAGACAGTGTGTGTTCAGGTCACGGTCGTAATACATTGGCCGGAGGCCAGCAAATGGACCGGTAGTCACGCAGTGCCCGTGGCCAACGCTTTCGGGGGCGGAAGCGTTTCCATTACCACCAAAGCCCGTTTTTGCGTCCCAAAGTGGAGAGGCGTGGAAGTTGACCCAATCCAGAGTCCAATCCCAATACGGCAAGCGACCGCTGTAGTTGCAGTGAACACGAAGTGCCGTCTCGTACGAGAGTATGAAGTACCGATGCCATGGGAAGAAGCCGGCTGTCAGGATAGTTTCGTCTCCTTTGTGTGTATGAATCCATGTGAAATCGTCGTAAAGAGTGTGAGGAAGATCAAGGATTGACGGCTGGGTGGCGAGGCACTTTGTTGCGGTAATATATGCATCTTTCTCGAGGTGACTCAGGCTTCGCCACTCACGTCTAGCTAAAGGCAAAATACAAGAAGATGAAGGAGTCGAGGTTATGGCGTTTTTCAGTGACGCCCCCCCCGTGACACCAGTTATAAAGCCGAAGGTGAAGCAGAGGCATATGAACAGAAGGGTAAGGATTTTGGCAACCCGGTTTTGTCCTCGCTCTGCCCCATATCCATCCTGCACCTTGCCTTCTTCGCCAATACTTGAGTCGTGGGAAGAACCGTTCGCAGCCGAGCTACTACCTGGGAGGTGCGAGTACTTCAAATGCTTCCACATGTCGATGGCGAGCCAAATGCTGGTATAAATCTCCGTGGTGTAAAAGGAAGAGGCTGTGACCACTCGTTGGGAGCTTTCACTGCTCCGGTAGATCAAGATGAAATTTTCACACTAAGTATCAATTACACCCGTGGACATTCTCCCCCTAGAGTTCGAAATTTTGAGACTGAGATACATATCTTTTACTCAGAAAACGGTACTACGAGCCTAGGAACATAGAGATCAAGCATCGTAGTACAGTCATACCTAGGTGCATAAGGACTCAATACCAGCGAGTGTTATTACACTTTCTCCAGCTCAAAACAAGAGGATTAGGTACAGTAAGATAGATGTGGAATTACGCGATGAAAATAAGTCAATAAACAAGTGGCCAATCAGGATCGCCTGATTGATCAAAGGCAGGATCCACAGCGGACGGCCGGCCGGAATCCCAGCCTTAGCTCCAGGGCTTCATGCCACGTATGTACTGAAACAAATATATTAATTTACGCTCTGCAGGTAGTATGCGCACGGTTCCAAATAACCACGCTAAGTGGCTCAGGGCTTCGTGCCTAGTCTTTCCGATGGGGTCCTCGCTTGTGTACCATATGTCTCATACCTTAGTAAGACTCTTCTATCATGTATGCGTAAATGCACTGACGGTACATCGTGAATCTGGTTGCATCAAGCTTTTCCCCACCTAGATTGGAGCTGAAATTGACCATTTAGAGGAAGGAAGTTATCCCTACTGCTAGGCTCCCAGCAGTATTCAAATCCCGGTGGAACCTGTCAATTTCCACATTCCATTACTCAGAAGATGGTCGTTTCAATCGTTTTCTTTTGTTAAGTTCCCTGCTACCGGCGTTTTGCTGGCTCTGACTCCTCTCTGATATTCTTAAGGAAAAGGCGGGAGGATCATGAAGATGTGCGCTCCTTTCCCTATTCTATAACAGCGTGGAGGAAGTTGAAGGAATACGGGTATTTCCGTCTCTGATTTTTGCTAGCGTGTTATAGGCTGTTACGAATGTCAAAATTCAAGCCTTTCTCGCACCGATAGTTTTCATTACTCCAATTCTATCATGCAGCTAGAATACAGTGCGGGGACATCGATACAAGCCTCGAATCCGCTCCACTGAGATGCATTTGAGCCGATGGCAAACTAAAATATTCCTTCAGATATAAATAAAAGATCTCATTATAGCAATGTGGAGGCGGCTAATAATACACCAAAGAGCGAGTAAACGACAAACCTAGGAGGTAACACACCATGTCCAGGCCAGATTCTATTCAGAACAGACCTTCAGCTACGGTCGAAGAAGATTGGTCGAAGAAGATTGGTCTAAGATCACAGATAAGACGGCCAGGAAGTGAGTCCAGAACCGCATTGCACAGCGCAACTACAGTTAAACCCCCCCCCCCTTCCCGCCCCTCTCCATTATTTTGTAAAATATTTAGCTAAGCCCAGACCCAAAGGAAGAAATTTGAAACAGCGACTTCACGACCTTGAGCAGCGAAACACCGCGGGGTGTTTGGGACACCTAAATAGCGATGCTTATTGCTGTTCTGGAAGCCACACAGCCGAAGCTCATGATCCGCACAATAATTGCGTTCGAACATCGGTGGAGCCTGATAGAAGCACTAGTCAGTGCTACCCTGCAGACTTTCCCGGAGATTGAAACATGACCATTAGCAGGGTATTGAGCGCGAGAGCCTGATTAGTCCCGCGTCGCTCTATCGGGATCCCTGCAGGTTGTAGCACCAGGCGCGGCTTTCCTTTTCAGTAAATCTGAGATCCACCTGAGGTGGAGAAAAGCTTGTTGCAGCGGGCAACAGCATGGACCGTATAGGTGTACGGAGTACTCCGTACATATTATTATTATTATTATTATTTATTCCTCGGGCTTTTTACGACCTTGGGTCGTATGTAGTCCCCTAGCTAGTGTGCGCTGCACCGTTGACTATGTACATTCGAATAGCAAAACCACTAACGTATTCGGTAAGCGAGCTGGCCATGTAAGCGAGCTGGCCACCCCATCGAAAACGCGTCCATGGGTTATTACTTAGTCAATTCAACCACCCACCATGCCACCAATTCGCTCTCGATCCTCTAGTAATTCAGCGGAGAAAGAGGGTAGGCTTTTATTAGCTATCTAGGCTTTTAAAAATCGAGAAATCTCTTCGATTCGTGAAGTGGCGCGCCGTTTTAACGTCCTAAGATCTACTCTTTCTACTCGTCTTAATGGGGTTTAAAACCGCGCGATTTCTCGCGCTAATTCGTCTAAATTGACTGAAATTGAAGAGGAATCTCTTTAAAAATGGATTCTCTCTATAGATCTACGTAGAGCAGCTCCCCGGCCCTCTATAGTACGAGAAATAGCGGATCTTCTTCTTTAAAAGCGTGGAACTACCCCGGTTCTTTCGGTCGGCGAAAAATAGGTATATAACTTTGTTAAACGGCGTCCTCTCCTCTCCTCCCGATTCTCGAAACGATATAATTACGAGCGCGCGAAATATAAAGATCCTAAAATCATTATAGAGTGGTTTGATCTAGTTTAAAAGACAATCCTTTAATTTAGAATCGATCCTAACGATATCTATAACTTTAACGAGACTGGTTTCGCGATAGGATTAACTATAACTACGAAGGTTATTATAAGGAGTAAATACTATAGTCGGTATTTACTTTTATAACCTAGAAACCGAGAGTAGGTAACTGTTATTAAGTATACGAATGCTTCTAGCTAGGCCCTTCCTCCGTATATAATTTTTAAAGGCAAAGTCTTTATTAAATTATAGTTCGACGGCCTCCTAAAGGATTAGCGCTTCGAAGTTAGTCCTAACGGCTAGACTTCCGATAAAATTAGCCTTCGTTAGCTTAAAAAGCTCTTTATTCCTAGTACTATACGTACGAAGGGGGTATACCGGCTCTTAATACTCGACGGCTACGGAAGTTATTTAACGCCTAAATTTGACGAAATTTACGAGTAAAATAAGGTGATACCAATTTATATACTAGCGTATTTATCTTATCTTTTATAACCTCTAGATATTAGTTGTTTTACGGTATTAAAACGTATATACGGTCGGATAGTTAAAATCAAGATACGTACCGGGATTAACTATATTAACAAACTCGACTTCCTCGAAGTATACCCCTAGGTACGAATTGAAGCTTTTAAATCGGAGACTATTAAAAATAGCTTCGTAGTAGCCGGTTTAGTCCTATTTAGACCCGACCGAGTGATCTTAAAGCTTAATATCCGGCTTCGAACCCCGACCCCCCTAGCTAGCTAGGGTAGTGAATCGAGCCGGAATTTCACCCTAAAAACCCCCTTTATAGAGAAAGAACTACGTCGGCAAGCTTTATTAATCAAAGCTTTACTTCGTATAAGATCTCGGAGCCCGCCTAGCCCGTTAGATCGTGTATTAAACTAGCTTATAAAGGGCTTTCGTCTTATAATATAAGGTGCTATCTTTCTCGCCTATGAAAACAAGGAATTACGCGCCGCCAACGAGAAGCAGAAGCAAAAGCGTACTAGATCCCGGAGGCAGATACCAGCTAAAGCAGGCTTAATAGTTTAAGAAGCTTCTTAATTGATTACTAAGCCGGTAGAAGCAATTGAAGCGTCTCCCCCCCGCCGGCAGAGACGGCTCTCGCTACCTTTACAGCTACGAACGAGAGCATTACCAACATGCGGGTTATGCAAAAACCAGGGTCATAAAAGAAATGCATGTCTAGAGAATAGATCATTTTAGTGTATTTAATTTAATGGCGTTATGGTAGAGATAAATGCATTTCAATTTAATATACTTGGGTGGGTGGCCAGCTCGCTTACATGGCCAGCTCGCTTACCGAATACGTTATACTTTGTTCGATTCAGACCTAGTTCCTTTTTCACCCTTCCGGGGCCAACCGGCCAGTCTTCATTGCAAACGCGATGACAGCTCTGACAATCTTGACATCCGGTTTCCATGCCCTTTCATTCAACTCACTTGTATCTTCTGTAGTCTCAGGCTTACCTCCTAGCGTCTTTGACAGACTGCCAAGACTCGGTCCCACGGTTTCAGCCAGTGCGCAGCGTTGTTCATTCCATCTTGTACATCGAAGCAGGAAATGTGAGACTGTTTCGCGCTCGACGCCACATCCACATACATCAGTGTCGGCCTTGCCGATTCGGTGGAGATAACTATTCAGTCTGGCATGACTCGTGCGGAGTTGAGCTAGTATTGACGCTTTCTCCCGATCCAAGCTATCGTACAGCACCCTTGTGCGGGGTACTCCGTACATATGCTAGTATATTCATCGTACCAAGGTATGAGAGATATTACGCGTAAGCGGCCATGTCGACTAGATAGATTATTAGGGCCAAAACCAGGATCCACAGCGGACGGCCGGCGGGGATCCGGATACAGCGGCCCGGTGCCAATCAGGCTCTCGCACTAACTTCCTGCTATTCATGTACATAACGGACATATTGACTTGCCTTGTGCAGGTAAGTCCGAGTTACCACGCTAAGTAGTCGGGAACTTCGTGCCTACGTCGATACAAGCCTCGAACCTGCTCCGCTGAGATGCATTTGAACCGATGACAAACAGAGATATTTCTTTATCTATAAATAAGAGATCTCATTGCAAATACGTGAAGGGGTCTAGTAGCACACTAAAGAAGTGAGCCAAGAGCAATCGACGAACATCAGAGGTAGTTCACCATGTCCAGGCCGAATTCCATTCGGAACAGACCATCAGCTACAGTTGAAGAAGATTGGTCTAAGATCACGGATAAGACGGCCAGGAAGCGAGTCCAGAACCGCGTTGCCCAGCGAAACTACAGTGAGACCCTGCCGGCCCATTATTTTGTGAACTATTTAGCTCAGGTCAGACCCATAGGAAGAAATCTGAAACAGCGAATTCAAGATCTTGAGCGGCAAAATGGCTCGGGATGTGTGAGAACCATAAAAGATACTCTTCACTGCTGTTCCGAAGGGCAAGCTGTGAGGAGCCAAGATGAATGTGCGGATACTTGCATAGGTGTCCCATTGCACCAACACCAGGCCGGCGAAGTTCATAACCCGCACAATCATTGCGTTCAAGCATCGGCAGAGCCTGAATTAGCCTATCCAGTGTCTTTTCTCAAGCCTGCCCTTATCAATAGTCAGAGATCTCCCCAAAGTTTGAATCATCTACTTTCTTTGGGAGGGACAGCGAGTCATGGACAGAAATATGGGGATATACCAATGCCTTCTCTTCGGTCTCCAATAGACTGCTCCGAAGACTCACTTCAAGTACCATCGGAGCAAGCTGATGAGGCTTTTTCTGATAAGGACTGGAGTAAGCCAACTCTAAATAGCACACTCTTGACTTACTGATCACTGCCGGTGTAGGTGAAATTCCGCGTTGGCTGGTGAATTTGGACCCAAATTCACTTGATCCAGAAATTGCTGGAGCAATCGAAGAAGAGGCCAACGATTTTCAACCCACTTTGCAGAAGAATAGTGAGAATTTGATTAAACCAAATCTTCCCGTGGCGGAAACAGACTTCTGTTCTCGCCGTTCGGAATGTGTCGCCAGGGAGACTCGCCGCATTGGCAAAGGAATCGCTGTACCCGGAAACTCTGCCCCTTCCAAAAGTAAACATGGAATTGATCCGGATGGCATGAACAGGGCACAGCAATCAAGCACGGTTCCTGATATCCCACCGGACACGGCGAGCTTGCAAGAAAGGGTCGAGTTTCTTCTCGAATGTGCGAACAGAGTCGGGTTCACCAAATTTGATACAGCCATATCCCATTATTACACAGCCGAATTTTCCCAATCATCGATTGCTTTCAATGCTCAACGAGTTAGCAGAAAGCGACACTTGCCTGAGGTCCTGGCTCTTATCCGCGAAAAGGCCAACTCGTGGAGTCAGTGGGAAGCTCAGGGATATCGTGACGAAACATTGAAGTCTTCGGAACAATTCCTACTAGAGGAATATAGACATGCAAATTCATTGAGTGACGGGCAAATATTCCAGCATATAAGGCGTAAGTCGCTAGGTCATAAGCAGAGCCCAAGTGAAGATCTTATCTCGGATGTCAATAAGACTCTCCAGGCAAAGGTAATCAAGTCATTCTTATCCATTCGATTTATATCATGCTAACGTTTTACCCGTGCAATATACAGCTCCCAAATTTATGGTCGCTTGTAACAGCTCTCACTTCAGATACTAGAATGTTGTGTCAGAAGGACCAGACTTGTGTCATACTTTTGACTGTGTCCCTATTATACTTCTATCAGAAAGTCTCGCTGGATTTGCTGCTGTGCTGGGTTGATATCTGTATGAGCAAGTAATATCTGGTGGATGCCTGAGGCATCACCATGTGATAGAACATGCAGATAGCTTCTCTCTCTCTCCCCTTCTCTTCCTCCTCTCCTCTCCGTATACGTGCATCAAGACAATACAGACAGTGTTTTCTCCATCTATTCTCCATTAGGTTATAAGTCCTTTCCTCGACACCCCGAGCAAGAGTTTATTTTAAGACCTAGCAGCTGGGGTAGCAGCCCCCGGGGCTCGCTACCCCTAGCCCCACCGCACCCCGTACCCTCGGTACACTACATACCGAGATACTGATACCTCCGAAGCTTAGGAGAAGAGAAAATACCTTTTCGCGTAAATTTACGCCACCTATCTACGTTTTCGCGCATGATCGCGTATTTCATGATTTTCGGTCTGCTAGAATGAGTTTTTACTGTTTATACCTATATACTCGAACGTCCGAGTATCCTTTACAACATAACAATCGACTAATAAGAAGTACGTCAGTGTATAGTGTATAAAGCTAGAGCTAGTATATAAAGCTAGTACCAGTGCCAGTTAGACTTCGGCACGACCCACTATAACCCGAACCCAACCCAACCCAACCCAAAATGGGTTTTGGGTCCATTGCTTCGACCCAACGATGGGTTTTGGGTTATTACCTATAACCCAAAACCTATTGGGTAACCCATTGGGGCCCCAATATAATACAAACAAAACAAACAAAAATTTTATATGGTTAAAATTCAAAGACTTGAATATATATATATCTAGCATAGCAACTTAATTAGAAAACGAAAACAAATTTATATAAAAAGCATTTTATACTACTGAAAAAGTATATTTAAAAATGCTAAGACTTAGATTTTATGAATTTTATGAACTTTTATGCAAATATGGGTTCAAATGGGTTATTATTGGGTTATTGGGTTGAACCCATTGGGTTTTGGGTTGGGTTGGGTTTAGACCTTGCCAACTCCCATGGGACTAGAAAAATTTTGGTCCCATATCCTGGTCCCATCACTCCCATGGGACTAGCCAAAATTTTGGTCCCATTACCATAGTGGTCCCATATAGTCCTATAGCATACATATTTTTGCCAAGCATTTCCTATTTTGGCTACATAAAAATGCCAACTAAGCAGATAAAATACTGTTTTTTACAAGTATTGTTACCAGCCAGATCTTCAAAGTAAAAGAGTGCATTAAACGAGGATACTAAGTACAAAGGAGGAAAAGAAAGAAGAAGAGAGGAAATATATACGATAGGACCTTTGAGGGTCCTTATCCTATCTCCTTGTATAAACATAACAAATATCGATAAGTCGGAAACTTCTAGTAGAAAACTCCGTAGGCGGTGAATAGTAGTAGAAACTATTTAATTAATACAATCTATTAGTAGAAAGGACAATATAGTCTAGTCTATCTAGTCTCGATCGTTATATAATCCCCGGCTAAAACTATATTCAGTCCTTAAATATAGGCTTATTATTATTAATATAATCCTTAAGGACTTGATCTTCTTTGTTAGTATATAGCTATTCCTATAAATGTAGTAGAGGACCCGGCTTTATAGGATATTAAGTATAGAATTCTTACAATTTCCTTAGTATATACTTTATATTACTAGTAGGATACTACTATAAATCGAGATTATATCTAATCTATTATACTCTATATTATAGCTTTTAGTAATATATCCTAGTATCTAGGATTTTCTTAACTTCCTATTTATCTATCTCTCTAATCTATATTAGTAGAGTAGGATCTATATACTATCTAGTAAGCAGCTTTATCGATACTATCTTCTATAATTTACTTAGATAGAAGATAGAATATACTCGAATTGCCCTAGAAAGATCTAATTTATAGGAATTACCTACTTTCTTAATAATCTTATATAGTCTATTAGCTAGATATAAAAGCTTCCTACTAGGTCAATTTTAAAGCTAGTCCTTTATTATAATAAATACAAAGTTACTAACTCTAAAATCCTTCTTATAATAATATTTATTTACCTATCGAATCTATAATTACTATAACTTTATAATTTACTTCTTTATCTAGGTTTAGATCTCTTATAAGTCCGAGAGTATCCGGATTACTTTTTACTTATTTAGTATTACTAATATTCTTTAATCTTTCTAGTTAAATATTATTACTAGCTTATAGTCTTACTTTATAAAGAATAGAGACTTCTTTATTATATCTTAGGGAAGAATTGATACTACAAAATTAACTATTAGTAGAAGCTCTAACTAGTTATCTTAATTTTATTTAATATATAGGTATAGTCTTTAAGTTATATATTAGTTTATAATCTTACTCTATCTATTAGTTTATAAATAGTATATAGTTAAAAGCTTCTATTTAATTCTTAGAATTCTATAGAATTTAGTCTAGAATTTAGAGATAAATTATCCTCTACAATCTAATATAATTATATCTAGGATTCCTAAAATATATATAATATAATTAATAAATAAATAGACTATTTACTTGGCTTCTATTTCTTTTTAATATAGAATAGAGATTAGTCTTTTATTTAAATAATTAATAACTATAAATACTATATTATATCTATAATAATCCTTTAGGAATAAACAGAAATGTATTAAAAGATATTACTAAAAATATTCTAGGATCGGTAGGGGTTATAATAGTCTAGATATATAATCTCTTTAGGTCTTTATATACTTATAGATTAAGTAATTATTAATATATTATTTTATATTAGTTATCTATCTATACTAATAGTATCTTACTATAACTAGTTTTTTTATCTTTTCGATTTCTAGATATACTATTAAAGATTATTAATATATCTTATTAAGTAGATAAGTATATAGATCTTTATTATCTAGTACTTCGAGCTATTCTTTATAAAGAAATAATCTATCCTATATTATCTATTAAAAGCTCTCTTTTATCTAGGCTATCTATTAGAACTCCTCTAACTCTAAACTTTGATAATTAGATTCTTAGACTCTTTTAATAATCTCTACTATCTCTTTAATAATATCTTCTAGTATAATAGGGGCTAAATAAGCTAGGAATACTTTTTTATCTAGATAAGCTTTTAGTAGTATTATAATCTTATAACTTTTATCTATATAAAAGATCTTCTTTCTTAATAAAGCGTCTATAATAATATTCCTCTTTCTAGGTTAGTACTTAATTATAAAATAGAATTGTAAAAGAAATTTATTTTACTTTATCTATCACTAATTTATTTACTAAGTTATTATAAAGTATTCTAGCAACTAATAATTAGTAAGAATCTTAAAACAATCCTTTTATAATAGTCCTTTAAGTTCGGATCTCTATTCTTACAATACCTAAATGATTACCAAAAGTTCTTTATCTTAGACTTCGTAATTTAGTTCGGCTAACTATATCATTTTTGTTATGATATAAGTAGGTATAAGGTTATTCCTAGAATGATACCTTAGGCCTATAGGTATAACGAATCCTTAAGACATACTAACCCTTTCGGGACGGAATCACCCATATTTCCTTATTATCTCGGAAAATCCAGCCCGTAGAATCATACCCTACTCTACGTATTATATCCCTTACTATATAAGACTATATATAAATTGGACTATATAGAGAAAGTCTAATAGCTCCTTAAGAAATAGTCTTTAACTTTTAGAACTATCTTATTATCTTCTCCTACCTAGTTAATAGGTACCTACCCTAACTTATAAAGTATCTTAATAATTCTATTTCTTCTTCTTTAATTACCTAGAAGAATAGTACTAAGAACCTATTCTACTTCTACTATAGAAGAGATACCGAATCCTCCCTAAATAGCTAGAGAACTACTAACTACCGAAGCTAGTTCCGGGACTAACCCGATAGAACCGACTACTAATCTAGATATAAACCTTATAGTAATCTAAGCTACTATAGAGAAGCTATAGAGACTTAAGGATCTCTAGGACTAGATTAAGACTCTTAAATCTTAACTTATAGACTAAAGTCTATATAAACCCCTAATAAGCCTCTACCGAGATATATATAATATCTCTAGAAGAGACTAAGAAATTAAACTTAAGAGTATATTTATATTTACTCTTAACTTTATCTTATAATAATATTAAGAATAACTCCTAGACCTATAATAACAATTTAAAGAAGTACTAAGATATTATTATAACGATCGAATCTAGATTCTCGGAGTACTTAGTTATATAGATATAACTTACTAGTAGAGATAGTATTGATATATTAATAAAAAAATACCGATCTTACTATAAAATCCTAAGAAAGACTAGTCTTACTTTAAGAACTAGACTTTAACTCTTATTAAGAATACGGCTATCCTAGAATCTAAGATAATAGGCTAACTTAGGAAGATATATTAGATAAAGAATAAGAATTCTTAAGAATTCTATATATATTTTAATATCTTAGAATATTATTTCTTAAGAATAGTAAAGAAAGAAAAAGCTCTTTTCTTCTTTATAAAACTTTTATATAATCTCTAAGATAAAATCTATTACTATATTATAAAACTCCTTAAAACCTAGAAAGATATAATTAATATTATATACTACTTCTAGAATCTAAAGAAATCGGAATTAAATTAGAAGCGAAAATATACCGAAACTATTAAAAATACCTCTTAGAAAAGAAACTCTAATTAAAAGTTATAAAAGTCCTATTTAATAGGAAAATCAAAATCTAAGAAAAATAAGGATATACTATTAGAAAAGTATCTAAATCCTATTAGGGATAATAGTAAATATAACTAATACTTTAACTATAAAAGCGAGAAATATTACTCTAATAGATATTTAAGTCTTATAAAGGACTAAAAGACTATAATATAGTTAGCCCTATAGGAAAATAATAATAAAATAGAGTAACTTCTATATCTTTATATTTTCTAATAATAAGAACTAGAATCTAGCTTTATATTCTAATTACTACCTAAAATAATCTTAAAACCTATATAGATCTAGATACTAGGACTAAAACTAACTTTATAAGTTTTAAATTTATTAAGAAATATAAGCTTAACTAGATAA